GCTGGCGAAAGTGGCGGCGCGCCGGGTACGCCGCCGCGCCGCCCGCGGCCGGCGGGAGATGCGCGCCCGCTCGCGCACGGCGAAAGTGGTGCTGGGCCGGGCGCCGGGGGCGCCGCACCGGAAACTGTGGGCCGGGGGACGGCGCCGGCCGCAAATAGCCGGCCTGCGCGCCTGCTCGGGCCGGGCCGGGCCGCCGCCGTCTCGCTCAGATCGGCTGGCCGGACCTAACGCGGGCGCTCGGCCGCTCGGAGCGCAAGCCGGCCGGCCTGGCGTGGGAGGGGTGCCGCCATGTGCGGCGGGTCAGGTTCCGACTCCCACGGCGGCGGCGGGCCGCCCGGAGCTGGTGTTGCGCGGGCCGCGCGGGCCTGAGCAGCGGGCGGCGGTGCCGCCGGCCGGGGGTGCCACCTGTCGCGGGGGCGCGGTCGCGGCGGCCAGTGCCGGCTGCGGTGTCTCTGCCTCTCCGGTGCTGGTGCATGTAGTGTGTGCATCGGTGTGTTGGCCCGGAGTGGTGCTGTTTCCGGCGGCGAATCGTCGCGCCTCGTGCATGACTGGCGGCGCCGAGGGTCCATGGAGCGGGCGGCCACGGTGCTCGGCGCGCATGCCTGGTCCACGGTGCTTGTGGCGCTGTCGTGGGCACTGGCGACGACGCCTGTTGGACAACGACGCCTGTGGGACAACGACGCATGTTGGACAACGACGCATGTTGCACAGCGACGTCTGCAGGACAACGACTCTTGTTGGACGACGCCTGTAGGCAGCGTCCTAGAATTGCCGACTTTGGGTGTAAAGCAACACCCTATGAGGAGGAATTTTCACCCCTTTTCCCCATATTTTATGTGAATTTTTCACTCCTGGGACACCTATGGCTATGTCCTGCCTCACCTACATCTGAATCATGTCTATGTATGCACAGAGCAAGAGCGCCAGGTACCTCCAAGTCCAAGTACCCCAGCGACCCCAGCCGCTTGCACGCATTAAGTTTGGTTTGTTTGCAACATGTATGACAATTTGCAGCTGTGCGCCAAATGCAAGGTTTTCACTCATCCCCTATTTTTTTTGGTCTCACCGCCAGCACCATGGAAGTAGAGCCTGGTGCAAACACCAGCAAGGACTGGTAGAGCATTTTACTCCACGTACTTCTTTTTTCCCGAGGAAACTTGACCACTAAATGCATCACTCCCGAAATGCATGAGTGAAAAGTTCAAGAAATGTCTTTTAAATTGTACTTACAAGATGAATATCACCATTTGAGCACTTCTTTTAACAGATTTTAAGTCAAATCAGCTGGTTGCAAAATTTTGCGAGAAAAGTACAAGTCTTTATATTTATTTAGCTACTTTTGTTTTTCTTGATATCATACCAGTGTGATACCACTTTATTCTTCCTTCCTTTTCGATTGCCTTTAGAGGTACCATCTGCTGCTTAAAATGTTGACGATTTCTCTGCAAGATGCTCCAACTGCAAGCTTGTACGTATTTCATACATACATTTCATTGGTAGGCATGATTGATATTTATATTTGGGGGGTGACTCGGATGACTGTCTGCCAGCAGACCATGTAAAAGGTACTGCATTTTTGTTTTTGGGGAGCAGCGAGAAGCCGGTAAGTCTCCTGTGGACCAAGTAATTGCTTACCTTACCTGCCTTCAACACATGATTGGTAACCAGAGTTAGCCATTTTCTGCTTTAATGCATCGAGTTTTGCTATAAGACAAATTATGATAACACAAGGCATGCAATGGGCTTATTTTGTTCCACATTCTTGGTTATTTGCCCCAAATTTCTTGAAGTGGCCCCTCATGGCTGCTTTAACCAGATGTTTTCTATAGTTGTCATGGTTTGCTGACTGGCAAATGACTGTTGTATATATGCACTATATTTTTAACACAGGGATACTGTAAGCTGCATAGCAATTATAATATGAGTTAAATATTGCTATGTAACAAATAGTCAGACCATTTAAAAGATGAAGCCAACGTCTCAAACTTTGTCATCAAATATGAATAAACAAGCCCAAATGGATGCATTTGCTGCAGCTGAAAAGGCAAGCAGCGATACTGGCATGGTCATCTAAAAGTTATGTTATTTTTGGAGACGAGAGATTGTTTTGTGGAGCATACCCATCATTGCCCTTGACATATGCTAACCATGGCAATCAAAATAAGTTGTTCAAAGTGATTTAAAGTGTTTTGATTTGTGCGTTGTCAACTTTGTGTGGTATCAACAAGCATGCACAAATGAACGGAAAAAAATCCAAGTTGAAACCATTCAAAAACTAGCTTTAAATATCATGTTTTTATCACAAGTGCTGCTGTCAACACACAGGTGAGTTGAGATGATGTTCATCATATGGACTACTCTAAGTTAGGTTAAGTTGGTCAAGTGCATGACAAGTGGCAATAGGAATTGTGCAAGAATCAGTAACTCACAACTGCTGATGTGATACAAACAGGTTATACAGGATGAGATGATGTAAGGCCTGTGTAGGTTAGGCATAGGCTACTTTCATGGAAATAAGCCATGGTATTTTGTAAGAAGCAGTGACAAAATGTTTGTTTTCCCTGACCCCACCTTAACAGAAGCCGGAAGTATGTCTATGGCGTTTGACTTGGTGATGGGCTGATGTGTGGGAGTCCAATGTTTTTTGGTTTGAGTGTTTTATGCTTGTTGAATTTTCTGTTGTTATATTGTTATTGAATTCCTTTGCTTTGTTTTGTTTGAAAAGTGCTGTGAAAGGGAATTGAAAAGTGCAGCATCAAATTACTGGTGTTAGTAATTTGTTATGCTCATAGTACTGTCATGAAATTACTGTGCTTTAACACGCGCCTGGTTGGCCGGCTAGATACCCTTCGCTCGGGTGTGGGGGGTCAGTTTGAACCCCCATCTGAGGTCTCGGGAACTAAGAAAGCTAGAGACACCAAATTTACAGGGTGTCTTGACCTATATGTGAACTCACTTGGGTTAAGGTTTCAGCTCCCTAGGTCATGACCTTCAGGTCGAATAAAGTCAAACAAGATCAGATTCCAGGCTGGTCTCCAAAGCACCCCCAGAACCAGCAACTGTCTGAGCAAAAGGTCACAAGCCCATTTGAAGTCACTGACCTTGTTTGACCCTTTGAAGGTCACGGTGACCAAAGTGATGCAAGACTGCTCTGCATTTTCATTTGAATAAGTGACAAAGATTACGCCAGGCAGTATGTTCCTAAAACAAAAGGTTCGACCCAGGTCGTCTGAGGTCAGTGGCCTGTTCTGACCTCTAAAAAGTCAATTGAAAATGTATAATGTGGTTCCTGCTGTCAATAAATTCGAAATGAGCACCAGCAATTATCCCATACAGCAACCCTTAGAGTAATAAATCAGGTTGGTTTTGACCTTGGTCTAACCATCATACCTGACCTTAGGTCAACGTAATTTGCGCATTCAATATTCGTGGTGCCTAGGAAAGCATCTCAGATATGTATGTCTTCGTCAAACACTCCGTTGTTGTATCAGATTGAACGATTTCCTAGAAATTGCCTTCGCTGAAACCATGGGCTGACTTTGATCTGTCACAGGTCAGCGACCTTACAAGGTACATGTAAAATTTGTATGTCAAACGATCCGCTGTGCAATTTTCTACAGCCATGCAAAATATGGCGCGGCTACGCCGCGCCGTTCAGATTGGGGAAAAGCCCGTGGGGGGGGGGGTCAATTTGCCCCCCCCCCCCCCACCCGAGCGCGTATTAATGTATTCTGTTTCACTTTCATGGCCTAAGATGTTAAAAAACGAAATAGTTTTGTCAGGTTTCTGATATTACGTCCATGCCAACTTGAAATAAATGTCTGTTTGCTGAAGCATCAGTCACGAGCTCATAAGTTCCGTCTTTTGTGAATGGGTTTTTTCACTCCCGCACGGTCTTTTTGCGATGTAATTTTTCACTCCCACCCTAGTTCAAAAGCGATTCTAGCTCCCTGCCTGTAGGACAACGACGCCTGTTGCACAACGACGCCTGTTGGACAACAACGCCTGTTGGACAACGACGCCTGTTGCACAACGATGCATGTAGGACAACGACGCCTGTTGGACAACGACGCCTGTTGAACGCTCAGAATGATGAGGCGAATAGCTCGTCTCATGGCCCGTTTCTCCCATTGTATATTACGTCAGTGTAATAGCAGAGTCAACTGCCTGTGAGTTTGGCATGGATACAGTGCTCGCGGTGGGACGGCATGATGTTCCTAATTAGACTCTGATTGCGCATGACCGCTAAAAGACTACAAACTACACGTCGGCTGCTGGAACGTCCCTGGGAGGTATGCACGTACGTGTGCCACTTTCCAGCAGCTTGCCGGCCATGGCGGACGTTCCTCGTCGCGACTACAGCGCCGGCGGAGTGTAGCCGACAGGCCGGCGCCGGCGCCGCGCGCCACCCAGACCGCCGCCACGCCAGGCGTCGCGGCGGCGTGCCGGTGTGCCGTGCGGGACTGGCGGCGTGCATTCCTGCTAGCCGCCGGCGGCCGACATTGTCTGCGTCCGTGCCGCCGTTCGGACGGCATTTTTGCCGTCGTTGAACGGCCGCGGGACGTGGTCCGCCGGCACCGGCCTTGCCCCGACGAGCGACGGCTGACATCCAGTGTCGCGCGCGTCCCCTGGCGGCGGTCCGCTGGTCCGCTGCGGACCAGGCTTGCCATGGCCGTGGATGACATGCTCATATATATATATATATATATATATATATATATATATATATATATATATATATATATATATATATTCATATACAAATGTGTTATCCATGCTGACCATCCACCGGCGGTGATGGTCCGGGCCGCTGGCGGCCGATGCGATGCACGGCGGCGAGCGCGCTGGGCGCGGGGGTGAGAGACGCGCCGGCCCGGCGCGGGAGACCGCCGCGTCTGACCTGAGCTAACGCGCTGCCGCCCCCGCCCGCACGCAGCCAGCTGACCCTGCTTATCTGACCTGACCTGATGGCTGACCCGCCACCTTTCCTGTGTCCGCAGGTAACCGACCATGAGGGAGTACAAGATTGTGGTGCTGGGTTCGGGCGGCGTGGGCAAGTCGGCGCTCACCGTACAGTTCGTGCAGGGCATCTTCGTGGAGAAGTACGACCCAACCATCGAGGACTCGTACCGCAAACAGGTGGAGGTGGAAGGCCAGCAGTGCATGCTCGAGATCCTCGACACGGCTGGCACGGTGAGTAGCCCTGTACTGCCCTTTCCCTTCCTCGCTCCCCTGCTCGCTCCCGCTGCCCCCTGCCCCTGCCGCACAGCACCGCTGCTGTCGTCAGCAGCAGCGGATGGTGATTATTTATGGCCTCGTAATGCCTTCATCGCGAACAAAGGCTGTAATGAATAAGAGACGGCGTCACCCATTCGTCGCTTGATGTCCTCTTGCTCCATGCACCGTGTTCTTTGGACGTTGAGCCTCTGGGTTTGTGGGTCACTTGTGACCAGGTTGGTGCTAAAGCTCCGGACCGACACGGCCTGTCCTGATCCCGTTGGTGTCGAATGTCGTGGTGCGCCATGTGGTAAGATGCGCCGCGTGACAAATGGCGCGCGGCGTCGTTTGACCTCGGTCCGGCGACGCCTGGCCGTCGTTCGGTCCCGGAGCTGGTACGTGACAGCATGTGTCGCGCACAGCTCCCGTTAGCGGGCCTCCGAAGGGTGGCGGTGGCTTGCGGTGCCGCGCTCTAGTTGAAGCCTCACGTCGCAGGCGGGGCAACGCCGCCCCGTCCGCCTCACTCGAGGAAGACCCCCGAACGGGCCGGCCGCTCGCCGGGGAGGCGACCACGACCGTGTCCCGCCGGCCCGGGGAGCGCCGACCGGCTGGGCGTGTGCGGGCCGGTCGGGCGGCCTGGCTGCGTGTCGCGCCACGCCGGGCCGGCCGATCTCTAACGGGTCCGCTTAGAGGCGTGCGAGGCACACCGCTCGCCCCAGCGGCCTGGCAGCCGGCCGGCCGGCCAGACCACGGCCAGTTCCGCTCCGGTGCGCCGCCGGTTCCGGGCAAACGGAGAGAGAGAGAGAGAGAGAGAGAGAGAGAGAGGAGAGTATGAGAGAGAGAGAGAGAGGATAGAGAGAGAGAGAGGGAGAGAGGGAGAGGAGGGAGGAGAGAGAGAGAGCGAGAGGAGGAGAGTGAGAGGGAGAGAGAGAGAGGAGAGAGAGAGAGAGGGAGAGGGAGAGGAGAGAGGAGAGGGAGAGGGAGAGGGAGAGATGGCCACTGCCGGGCGTGGAGGCGCTACTTGGGGCGATCTCGCTGCACCCCGCACCGGTGACGAGAGGGAGTGCGGTGCCATACCGGCGCCGGAGGCCGCTCGCCGAAACCAGCGCGCCGGCGACGCCGCGTGCGGCGGCGGCGGCGGCGGCGCAGCGGAGCATGGCGCGGCGCCGACGAAAAACGGCGGCGCGAGCGGCGGCGCGACGCATCCGAACGGACCAGCCCATTGTTCTGTCCGGTGCATGGCGCATGGTGTCGCCCTGCTAACCCAAACACGCCGGGCGAACACGGCAGCGCTGTCACCGCGCTGCGGCGCCCCGGTGCGGAGCCGGAGCCAGAGCCGCAGAGCCTGAGCGGGAGCCGGTGCGGTGTTGGCCGGCGATCCGCCGCCGCTCGAGCGCGAGGTTGAGCGCTCCGGCCGGTCTGGGCGTGGGTTCAGCATACTGCCGTTGATTGGCGTGTTGAGCGAGAACGGAGCGGCTCCGTCGGCGCTCCGCCCGCGGAGGTGGCGTCGCCCGCAACGGAGCGCTCCGGTGCGCCCGGTCCGCGTGCGAAACCGCGCCGCTCGCGCACGCGTGAAAACATGTTTGGCGGCGTCAGCGCGGCGGCGGATAAACAGAGGCGGCCGCCGGCTCGCTATTTATCGCTCACTAACGCGTCGCCCGTCAAGTGGCGACGTGGCCGCCCCGCCCGGCGGCCGGTGACAGCCATGACGTCATGGGGTCGAGCCGGCCTCCGCTGCGCCTTATAAGGCAGCCGGGCGCCCGCCGCAGGAGCGCGCCCTGACCCGGACTGCTGCGCCGGCCGGCGGGAGGCGGCGTGCGTGGCGCGGCCGACACCGCCGGGGTTCCACGCGATGCTCTGTTTACAGGCTCAGAGCGAGCCGGGACAGCCCGACCTGACCCGGCCCGGCGGTCTGCCTGCTTCCGCCCGCCGGCCGCAGCGGCCTCGGCGGACATCGCCGGAAGTGGCTCACTTCTGGTCGCCATCTGTCCGCAGGAGCAATTCACGGCGATGCGTGACCTGTACATGAAGAACGGTCAGGGCTTCGTGCTGGTCTACTCCATCACTGCCCAGTCGACCTTCAACGACCTGCAAGATCTGCGTGAGCAAATCCTTCGAGTCAAGGTCAGTGTCCTCTGGGCAGCGTGCCCCCCCCCCCCCCCTCACCATCCTGCGGGGCGCCGGAACGGCATAGTTCTGTTTCATTTCAACTCTGCTTTGCTTTCGCTGTCTGCTGCTGGTGTGCCGCATATATGTATATGAAGGGCACCAGGTGCTCTTGTTGTGGGCTGCATGCTGAGGGATTGTCTGGCCCCTGGGCTCCGGAATTTGGAGCCAGCGCAGCGAACAGCTAACGCGTAATAAGGGCTCCATTCGTGTGGTGTGTTTGATGGTTTTGAACGCTTTTAGTTCCATAAAATTACATACTGTGTTTTGATTGCTGTTTTTATTTGACGGTTGGCCCGTCACATGGGCCGTAATTGCTGGCTATAAGTTCTGTATATATATATATATATATATATATATATATATATATATATATATATATATAAGTTATCCCCGTAACTTGCGTAAGTAGCCCGATGCCTATTTGCTGGCTTTGACGCGGTCTTGCCACTAAGATGCTCGCCCCGCTCCGCTGTACCCATATGTGCCCGTATGGTCTCGATCGTACGGGAGGTGGGTGTCCAGACGGAGCGTCGCAGAGGGCTGCCGGGCGTGCGGGCCTCGCGTGCCTGCCGGCACCGGCCGCTGTGCGTTGCGTGCCGGCGCCGCCGTCGATCCTACCGCGTCACAGGCCGGCCGGGTTGCGTTACGCGGCAGCGGCCCGGCCTGCTCTGTGTGCGGCCGTAGTAGGGAGTGTGCCGGCGGCCTGTGAGCCCTCCCGAGCTGCAGTTCTGCGTCAGGAGACCTTACGACACGCACGCCACGGTGACCAAGGTGGCGGGAGGCCGAGGAGGAAACAGCAGGTCCCCAGTAGGCGTGAGATGCGGGACAATACCAAATGCCTTTGCTTCTGTACATGACACGAGGTTACTGCTAAACTTTTGCTAGATGTGGGGATGAAGGACTCCGCGTGTCTCCTGTGATGGTGACGCTGCGGTGCACCACATCCCGTTACTATCCTCTGCCGTTCCCCACCGGCGGTGCCCGGTCCGCCTCTGACGTGCTCTCTCGCGTCCGCAGGACACCGATGACGTACCGATGATCCTGGTGGGCAACAAGTGCGACCTGGAGGACGAGCGTGTGGTTGGCAAGGACCAGGGCCTCAACCTGGCCCGCCAGTTCAACAACTGCGCCTTCCTCGAGTCGTCGGCCAAGTCCAAGATCAACGTCAACGAGGTAACCGCCGCTGCAGCGTCGGCCTTCACCGCCGTGGCGCGGTTGCTATCGATGCGCCTAGTGCGCGCGGCCGGCGCGGATCTGCGCTAGTCTGGTCCGCGGAATCTTTATGATGGGCTTTGCTGTCAGTTTGGTCGGTTGTCACGGTCGGCCTGACTGACCGTTGTGCGGCGCTTCCCTTTGATTAGATAAGTCCGCCGGGGGGGGGGGGGGGGGGGGGGTACTTCACCTCACAAAGAGCGCAAAGTGCTGTGACAGAATCAGTATGACTTTTCTGATACGGCTAAAAAGACCGTGAACGGAGCTGAGACTCGGGGTAGATGATATGATAAGATACGTGGTAGTGGTAGGGGAATACGGGAAGGGGCAGCGCTGGCAGTGCTAAGAGCCAGCAGGGAAAGGCATATCTCAGTCCCCACAGCTGAGCTGGCCGATTTTGCATTGAATGCGGCTTTGGTCGCATGGCCCAAAGTGATACACACATACAAAGGCTTCCAAATTGAAATATGCACTTGATTCACACCCATGAATTAGCTAGCTCTAAAGTGACACGCCACTATTGTCGTTGAAGCTGTGAAAGGCAGCCGACCGTTTGGTGTAGTGCGGACGCGGCCTTTGGGTTCGGTGCCGATACGCACCGCGTAACCGGTTTCCACTTATGACCGGTTCTGTGTGAGGTGTGAGCGTGCGCGCGCTGAACTTCGGCCCGGCCTCGTCACAGTCAATGTCACTGGTGGGCTTTGTGACAACGCGGCGAGGGGAGCTTTTGTGGCTCGAGAGCGGCCGCAGAGCAGACTGGCGTGTTGTCGCGAGCGTGAGCTAATCCAGCGCGTCGCCGGTGGGACTCGCAGCTGACGGTCTGGATGTCCTCTGGATACACAGAGATCGTCTTCAGCACGTGGTGGTCGTCGCTCCGTTCTCAAGGAAGGAGGGGGATGGAGGGGGAGAGGCAGGCGCCGCTCGCCGGTCGCGCCGAGGTCACTCAACGGCCGGCGGCGGCGACGGCGGCGGCGCTGATCCGATTTCCGGCTTCCGCCCTCGACTGACTCTGTCCTCTCCCCGCCGCCAGATCTTTTACGACCTCGTGCGGCAAATCAACCGCAAGTCGCCAGAGAAGAAGAAGCAGAAGAGCAAACGGAGCAAGTGCTGCCTGTTTTAACTGCCGCTGTGTCGCGAGTGCAAACAAAGACGGCGGGCGCGGGCCGCGCGGTGCCAGGGATCTCTCGCCGGCGGGGAGGCTGAGGGACGACCAAAGACGGAGTCCGCCCACAGGGCGGCCGCAGCACGGCCGCAGTGCGCTTGCTGGCTGGGGGTAGGCGGCTGCCGAACGCTGTTGATGTTTATGTGGCCACCCAGGTCGGCGCCGACGGCGGGCAAACGCAGCGCGGCCAACGCGGAGCTCGACCCCGCGCCCGACTGCGTGCGCGTGCGTGCGTTTGTGGTGCGAGGGCGTGTTGCTACTCCATTTACGCTTTCTGTATAATTCTCTACGTGCGTGTTGCCGCCTTCCATGTCGCCTTCCGATGGCGTCGCTCATCGCCCGGGCGACCGCAGCGTCTCTGGCGGCTGCGTCCCGAATGTGCGGCGCGGATCGTCCGCGACGCCCGCCACACCCCGCCCTGTCCAATTCGAGATCCCAGCGCGGCTGGGGCGCAGAATGTCGCGTGATGTTGGCGCCGCGTATGTATATTATTTCCATGGACTCATTATCATGGAGCGGCCGGCGCGCGGGTGCCCGCGCGCACGCCGCTCGGCCCTGGAGAAGTGCGCCAGCCTGTCGCGGCCCGCTCGTCTACGCCTACATAGCTCGTAATGGCGCGACTCGTCCATGTATCTGAATAGTTTTCGCTCGGAATAAAGTACGGTTAATCTCGCGCACGTTTATTGCGGAACTGGCGGGACCAGCGCAGCCGGCAGCCGCCGCCGCCGTTCTTCGGAGCTTTGTTGTACAACACACTGGCACGTAGGGGGTGGCTGGAGCGCAGGTGTTCGAAGACCCCTCGTCGCTGCCCTGCGCTCGATTCCCAGAAACTACGCGGCGGGAACTAAGCTGCTGCTGAGCTGCTGCGGTAAAATAACCATCCAGGCGCAGGCCTTCAAAACAGACAGGCAATTACACACGATGATCCTTACGAAGCACACAGGCTCTGCCAACAGAGCAAAGCGTCACGATTGTCACATGGTTCAAGTCAATTCTTCCGAGCGACACAAGCGCTCGCGGGAAGCCTCCAGGCACACGCACCGCCCTACATGGGCGGCAACTACGCTGTAAAAGTAAAAAAGCCGAGGCGTCGTCTCAGAGCACATCGGATTCGAGGCCGTCGGCCAGCGAGACCGGGCGGCGACGGCACGCGGCCGCTCCTGGCGCGGCGGCCCCGTCACGACAGTGAGTGGAGCCCGGCGAACTCCGCTCTGGACACCGGCCAACACTGCAGCCAACACGGGAGAATGAGAACCCGCCGATGCAGTCGACGCCGCGCGCTTGTTTGGCCGGGACGACTTTCTGACGCAAGCTCATTCCAAGCCAAGGCGCTATCCATGCCATCCCCGTCCGCTTACGTAACCACAACCAGCCGACACGTCTGCAGCCCGAGGGCTTCGGGTCGGGGAGGGCCCCAGTCAGCCGATGGCGGCTCCGACAGCAGCACGGTGGAAGCGCGAGTGAACGCTCGTGCGCGGCGTGCGGCGGCAGGACGTCGCGGCCGCGTCCCGACAGATGCCCATCACATGGATTCATCCACTCACAGACACAAATGGCCGCTGCGCGAGGCCGGGCGCCACGGAAGCGCCTCGGCCTGTGCAGCCGAGTGCAGAGCTCGCGGCTGGCGCTGACGCTCGGCAGCGCGGCAGCCCGCCGTTCGCCGCGCCCGGGATCTCACGGCGCCACTCAGCGGGGTCGGGAGACAATGTTAACCCGGCCTCCGACGCGACCAACGGGCCAGTCGACGTCGAGGCCACGCAAACGAACACGCGCCGGCCGCCAGCCCAGGCCATCCAGCGCGCTACAAAAATACGAAGGCGGGTATAAATAGGCGATAAACCGCTCAAAAGCGCATTACTCGCGGCCGACAAACGCAGCACAGGGTGAACGCGTGGTTCAGACAGAGACGAACAGGCAGTAGGCGTAACATACGCGCGGCAGTATATACAGACCATGATACTGAGAGCAGCCCTGCCACGCGGCGGTGAGGTGAGGCACACCTGGCGCCGCGCCGCGCAGGCCACGCGCAAAGGCACAGACACACACGCACAGCGTTTGGCACATGAATGCCGACGGCGCTCGGCGGCGGTGGCGTCCGTCAGCAGGCGTCGACGGCGTGCACCTGCGCCTCGGCGCGGATCTGGTGCGGCTGCAGCATTGTGAGGGGCGCGGCCGGCGCCGGCGCCGGCGGCGGCCCGGCCGGCGGCGACGACAGCACCGACGAGGCCGGCGAGGCGGCGCGCACGCGCTCCGGCTCGCCGGCCGCCTCCGAGTCGTCGTGCGGCGTCATGGTCGAGTAGCCGTGGTCTGAGTCGGTGCCGGCCGCCGGGCGCCGGTAGCCCGGGTTGAGCCGGTACGGCGAGAGCGCGGCCTGCGGCACGAGCGGCGCCAGTACCAGCCGGTTGACGGCGGCCGGCGGCGGCGGCTCCAGCTCGAGCTCGGCCGCCTCCTCGTCCTCCTCCTCCAGCGCCAGCGGCACCGCCTGGCGATAGCGGCCGGTCACGTGGTGCCGGTAGCAGAGCACGGCCAGCGCCAGCGAGACGAACGCCGCGATGATACCGCCCGCCACGGGACCCACCGGCGACGAGGTGGAGCGCAGGCGGTCGCCGTCCGAGAGACCTGCCGGCAGCGGGGCGCAGCGTCAGTGGCGGCGGTGGGCGCAGTCACGTGTCGCGGGGCTGGCGGGGTCCCGGACCGGGCCCGCCAACTGACCCGGGCCTGCCAGCTGATCCGGGACCTCAGCTGGAGATCGGCGCACGCCGTCTGACGCTCTTGACGGCTTCTGCCGTCTCAGATCCCGATCAGATCCTCTGAGATCTTGTCGCAGCGCTTTCGGCAGATGTAAAGGGGTTTCTAACAAAAATTAAGTGCAGCAGACCGAAGCGAAATATGAAGGGCCACACTATTCCGAATACCAACTTAATGGGAGTGTTCTACGTTTGTATGAAATTTTGAGCTAACCATATTGATGATCATTCGGCGCGTTTCACAGCCCCCTTAAGACCCAAACTCCTCTCGTTTCAAAGCTACACGCCCGCGAACATGTGCAGACTTTTTCGAAGACGATTTCAAGGTCACCCAGGCATCCATGACGCCATCTAATAACGCCAATAAAATCCTGCCATTCCATAAGCCATGCGGCGATCAAGACCAAGAAAACTAAAAAGGTCGAGGCGTTCATCAGCATGCTTTCCAGACATAACGGCTGTCAATTGGCTCTCAATCAATGCCGTGCAAGGTGCGATGGCGTAATCAAACAATGACTTATTGAAGATAATATTAACTCAATAGAGAAATTGTGTTGTCTGGAGCAGTCGTTTCCGCCTAAAAGTTACAAATAGTTATAACTGAGCCTAAATCATCACATTTGATGGTTGTTGCAATGCCCTCAAATGTAGAATATTTACTTTTAACACAGTAAGCCAGCTTGAAAAATACACATTGCTTGACTTGAGACCTGGCCACATCCAAACACATCGGTACAGTGCGATCAAGTGATACCGACCGCACTGGGCACTCGCATGTAACCCTGACATCACGCCCACACGCCTGCCTGCTACCAAACGCCAACGTCTAGATCAATCCCTATCTCTGCATGCTATCTTTGGCTGACACAGCTCTGACACTCTGCTGAATCTTACAACAGACAACCCAAAACTGTGCGCTTCGCCGGCAGTTCTCATCATCTTCTGCCGTTCCCTGCTCTCCAAACACAGCTGTCCGCTGCGGGCCGTACCTCGGCGGTGATCACCGTATGGCGAGGCGGCGCCCAGCACGCCGCGGAAACAGCGCTCCATGTCGGTGCAGAAGGGCCGCGTCAGCCGCGTCTGGCCGTCTGCCTCCAGCTGACACCACTCGCAGCCCAGCACGCCGATACACTGACTGTCGGCGTCAAAGTGCACTCAGAAAGGGTGCTTCTCCAGCTGGCACAACTCGCAGCCCAGCACGCCGATACACTGACTGTCGGCGTCAAAGTACACTCAGAAAGGGTGCTTCTCCAGCTGGCACAACTCGCAGCCCCGCACGCCGATACACTGACTGTCGGCGTCAAAGTACACTCAGAAAGGGTGCTTCTCCAGCTGACACCACTCGCAGCCCAGCACGCCGATACACTGACTGTCGGCGTCAAAGTGCACTCAGAAAGGGTGCTTCTCCAGCTGGCACAACTCGCAGCCCAGCACGCCGATACACTGACTGTCGGCGTCAAAGTACACTCAGAAAGGGTGCTTCTCCAGCTGGCACAACTCGCAGCCCAGCACGCCGATACACTGACTGTCGGCGTCAAAGTACACTCAGAAAGGGTGCTTCTCCAGCTGGCACAACTCGCAGCCCAGCACGCCCATAAGCTCACCGTTGGCCTCAAGGTACACCTGGTACTCATACAACTCATGCCCTCCTAGCCGCACAGCTTCTCCCAGTCTAGCACGTTGACACGCTCCCCGTCGGCGTCGGCGTACACTCTATAATAGTGAGTGCCCACCGCCAGCCGACAGCCAGTGCAGTCGGCTGGCCCGTATGTCCCTCTGTCGGGGTATGGAGACGCTCAGCACGGGTGCTTCTCCGGCTGGTGGCACCCCGAGTCCACGCTCCGCAGCCCGCTGCGAGCCCTGTCCGCGTCAGGGTGCACCCGATGGTTTTGCCAGCCCCCAGCCGACGTTACACGCAGACCGGCGCCCCCCTCCCCTCACACTCAGAATCGGTGTACTCTCCGTAAGGGCGTCGTTTCGGCTCACATCACCCCCAGCCTGACACGCCGGCACGCTCCGAATGCGGGCCAAAGTCAGCTCATTAGGCGTGTTTATCCGGCCCACTCTGCCGGGCCCACACTGAGATACGCGCACAGCTGGCGACGGGGCGCACTTAGCAGCGTTGCAGACGACCAGCAGGCCCGACCAGGCCGGCAAAACTGAAACAAGCCCGCCCCTCCCACAGAGCGAGCCCGAGCCTCATCAGCACGGGCCTGTCCCATTTCGGTGCCCTGAGAGGTCTATCGAGCGACAGCCGACACGCCTGTCGCAATTCCGCGTCCAAACGGGCCGACCGACCGCCACGAGCCAGCAATTACGCGCCAGCCAGTTCCACTCGGCTGCCTCGTCAGCACCGTCGGGCGTCGGTCTGATTGCAGAGCGGCGGCGGCGGCGGCGGCGGCAGCGGTGTTCGTCGGTCCGACGGCTGATCAGCGTCTTCGCCGAGGGCGAGCCGACCCGACGGCCGGCCGGCTAATGGTGTCCGGGGGGCCGGCGGCGCCCCACACCGCCACCGGACACCTGGCACGTGCAGGAGGCGCCATCGCCACCCAGAGCGGGCTCGGGATCGATGCGAGGCCGGCTCGCGGGAGACACGCGTCGCGCGACCACTGCCCGCCGGTGCGCGGCACAAAACAGCTGCGGCGGATCACGCAGTGCGCCAGGCCACACAAGACCGGTGAACCACTGTCTCGCCTAGCATAAGGCGCCCGCCACTGATCTGCCCGCCAATGGAAGCACTACGACGTGATACGGTCCGGTTGGTAACAGTTTTAAAGCCCTTTACTCGGTGAGTCGTTACCATGGGTACAGCTTGTGAAACACCTCGTTTTCACCAAGTAGCCCATGCTTGCTTGATATCCTTATATACAGCACCTTGTGGTATAGGACAATCAAAAGGTAATTCACTTTTGGCGTAATAACTCCGACTAGTTTAGCTACAGCTCCAGGAGTTCAAGGCCTTCTTTGCTTGTACCACACAATTTTGTAACTATCAGCATTGCAAATCCGGCAGTGGCAGCCAGTCTTCAGTGTGACCATAAAAGCGTGTTTGCCCCGCGAACAAGACCTTCTAACGGCGTCAGACACGCGCGCTGGCCTTCCTGCCTGACGATACGCCACGTACTGACAACAAACATTCGACGTGAATGCATTTTGAAGACAAGCTAATGCAGTCGTTAGCAGTCAATTGCTCCTGCCCATTCAAATGTACGGCTTAATAACTGGCCCCGGCCAGCAGCAAAGTTAAGCAGCACGGCTGAGGCAGAAACCTGCTGTCAAAGACGATTCTGCGTGCAAGCGTAACGGGCAACACAGTGCTAGCTGTACACAATCGAGAACATGACTTGAGCGTTAACTAGTTCAGAGACGTGCGCGCTGGCAATGCTGTGTATGTACGCCGGTCCTTGTACGAAACTTCACACAGTTGCGTGAAGTGTTCTCTGCCGACAGGGAAGAAATACAACGTCCTGAAAAGATGGCATTACATTTCCGCTGCCAGCTGTAAGGACGTTGTGTTATTGCTGTGAAGAAAACTCCCCCCACCCATTTCGCAGGAGTCGTTACTGCCATTGTCCCCTACACTATTGACCAGCGGCCAGCAGGCGCCGACTCCGTGGACACCACAGCTCACCACACACTACAAAGTATCTGCTGAGGACGCTATTCACACAGAAAAAGGGACGGGGAGGGGGTTAATAAAAGCAAAGAACTTCAACGACAATTTCATGACATTCTGAATGCCCCGCAAAAACCCCCACATACACATATACCCGTGCTGAAATGGGACGAGACCGTTGCCAGTAAGCCGTAAGTATCTTTTCCGGTCTTATTGTTTCTGTACCGATTTTTTCCAATGCCTCCAGTTCGCACCACTAGGTCAAGTGACACAGCAAAGTACTACCATTCTCGTGTCACCAGCCTGCACCCGACGCACACGACAGATGGTAGCCGGCAGTCCAAGGCTCACCTTCTCGCCCTCTCCCGCCGCCTATCTCTCGGCCCCGCCGGCACGGCAGGGTGCCCCCCCCCCCCCCCCCCGGCGAGACCCGTCCGGCACCGGCCGCGTCATCACACGTACCTGGAGTTGTCGCGCGCCTGGCAGTGGACGGGCGCGCAGTCGGGAAGGTGCGAGACGTCGCGGTCGACGCGCGGCCCGTACACGGCCTCGGGGACCACTGGACAGGTGGGGTGCAGGTCCAGCACGGCTTCCGTGCAGAGGTCCGTGCGCAGAGGGCACTCGCAGGGACACTCACACTCCCAGGCCTCCATCCGCTCGCAGTTGAGGCAGGCGCGGTCGAACTGGCCCGCAGACACGGGGCAGGCACGGGTCAAGGGAGCCGAGCGCTTCAGGTCAGATGCAGAAACATGCGTTGACGTTGGGGCACGACCACTGACGGGTCAGCTCCGAGGGCCACGGTTCAACACGTGGCGCACCGGCGCACCACCGGACCCGACCGCACAATACAGACAGTCGTCCCAACGTCCTCGTGCCGACGCACGAGGTTATCCCACGGTCCACGCCCCCCCCCCCCCCCCCCCTACGACCTCGGGCTCCCGGAGCCGGGGCGTCCGCTCGGCTGGCAGCCAAAGCCGGAGCCGGAGCCGGAGCCGGAACCGCGCCGCGGCTGGCGGGCACGCGACGCCGGGGAGCGACGGCGGGACTGTCGGGAGTTACCCAACCCGGAGACCTCCAGACCGATTACGCTCCTCGTCCGGCCCAATGTCAGCCAGCCGCTGTCTGGACCCGGTACGGACAGGCCAACACACCGCCAGTGGCCCGAGGAGGGTCTGGCACGCTACCACAGCAGACACACAGACCCAATGGTAGGAGAGGTGGAGACGACATCGGGTCGCCCTTACCAAAACACGGCATGGCACACAGCAGCAAGGATCACATCGTCGACTCTGATCGCAGCTGTGACAGCCCAGTGGGCCCAACAAAACTACAGTCCTTACGTCCAAATATGTGCGTTTCCATGTCACTCTCGTTCCTATGTGCGTATCATGGCTCATCGCACCCCAGCGTCCACCACATCCCAACCAATCAGCGGGACACCGCGCCCGACGAACGTCCACCACCGCGTGCCCTTGCAAGTCAGGCCCCGTCCGACCCACCCAGCATCCGAGTCCAGAGCCAGCCTCACCCTGCTGCACGCGCAGAAGGCCGGGTTGTCGCACGTCTGGTTGACCACGCCCAGGAAGACGTTGGTGCCCGGAATGGCCACGATCTGGTACTGCTTGCAGTGGTCGCCGCCCGATCCGACGTTCGTCACCACGTCCGGCATGGACGTGTTGAACTGGTAGTACCGTTGCACGGTGTTGTCGGTGTACCTGGGGCGGCGGCGCCCGGCCGTCAGCCGCCACGGTGGCGCGCGGAGGCGACGGACGCGGCGCGGCGGCCCACTCCGACAGACAGTCTCCTGCCCGCGGCGCAGACCCCTACCGACAAATCTCAGGGGGAGACGCGCAGTCGCACGAGGCGACGAACTCCACACTGTCATACTAGCTCGCGGACTTGACCAGTGGTCTAGAATGGTTTGGCCGTGCCGCGATGACGCCGGCGATGTGACCAGCGACGACAGCACACACCGTCAGCAGCACCAGACGTCACGGCGGCGCGCCTCCATCCTGCTCGGCACACCCACCCACTGCGCACCTGTTGCATTGTATCTTGGAGACAAATTGTTGCTGGCTGAGGATGTGGTTGGCGAGAAGAGGCTCCTTGCTGGACACGTGCTGCTGCTCGACGGGCCCCTCCCGCCAAGGTGACACGTGCTCCGGGTGCGAGATCATGTAGCCGCGGTCGTCCAGCAGGAAGCATGTCACTTCCGGTGTCTGGCACCGGCCGCCCAGCACCGACACCAGCAGCTGCCGGCCGGAGGTGACGTCACACCACGCGTCACTCAAATGGCGAACGGACAGCGAGCATTGACGCCTCTCGGCTGCGAGCTCAAGAGCGAAACAGTGCTCAAAGCTTAACAGTGCACGCTAAGACGGGCTGACGACTTGCATTCTGGACCGCCGCTGAGGTCACAGTCCAACAGACAGGTCCACCCCAAACCCTTCCTCCGCACAGCACCACGGAGCGGTCATATTTTGTAACGCAGTGCAGAGACCTGGCCGGGCGGCCTCCACCCGTCTGGATGACCGTCGTGGGCTAATCGCCGTTGACCGCTATTAAATGGCTGGGTGACACAGCCCGCTCCGTGTCGCTGAACACAAGCCTCAGATACCCTCAGCCCTGAGAGCCGCATACAAACAGACCGAAAGGACGGCTTACGGACTTGGCATCCCGGACACAAACAGCTGTAGGCACGGCACACTTAAGGCTTACAGACTAGGCAGCTGGGACACAAACAGCTGTGAACACGGCGTACTTACGACTCACAGAATTGGCAGCTGGGACACAAACAGCTGTGAACACGGCGCACTTACGACTCACAGACTTGGCAGCTGGGACACAAACGGCTGTGAACACGGCGCACTTACGACTCACAGACCTGGCAGCTCGGACACAAACAAATGCGAACACGGCGCACTCCCATTTACACCAGGTCAGGTCCCACCCTGGCTTCAGAGCTTATTGATATTCTGCAGAAGCCGATGCCAAATGACGGTCCACAGCCGTCAAAGCGGCAGCACTAAAGTGTGCGCAAACGACCGACGAGCTAAGAAGGCAAGGAGACAAGGAGGCTGATGGTGTTAGCTGCCATTCAGTAAAAGTCGCGAAGGCACTGGAACAACCTCGTCGAAAAACTGAAAACCCTTAAAACCACGTACAAACTGCTCCGTCGAAGACACGATCCGTCAATCACGACCTAAAAGCCTGGTAACGAAGGCGCAACTTCATGACGTGATAAATGGGGGTGGTGGCGTTTCTAGGGAAGCTGCCTTGTGCGGCCCTTCATTGCTGCGTTATGTGACATAGAGCAGCAGGGCATGACAGGCTACCGTACGTGGGGTGTTGTATTCATCTGTTACCGGTAAAAATGATGAACATGACTCCCAGAAGGGGCCTTCACAGGCAAGATTCCCTTTACCCAACGCACCCTCTACCAATGGAGGCTGTGCCCCTCTCCATGAGTTACCCATTCCGAACAAAACGGGTGCATTCCAGTTGAACCCACCCATTACAGATCTAATCATATTTTGCGGCACTTGGTTCTAAATCATGAAAACGGTCCTTAGAGTTAACACACAAACATACTCCTTGACATTCATAACTGCAAGGCTAGTGTCACTGAAGCTTATGACCACAAAAAGTGAAAACAGTAACATGACTCGCATTTCTGGAAGCATGTACCACACATTTCGTAAACGTCTCCCCCATACCTGCATCCGCACCAGTAATGTTTCCGAGCTCTGTACCTAACCCAATCCTGTATCCATTCCAAATGGATGACCATGGGTTTGCCTTAACCGGCCTCTTATTCACAGCCTTCCTAACATCCTTGTCTCATGCACAGCCAACACCCGCCGTCCGCGAACACCTCGCCGGTCTGCACCCAGGCCTCCAAGCCGACACACCTCGTGTGTCCGCGTACCTGGTAGAAGTAGCCGATGGTCATGTCCATGCCCATGACGGCCACCACGGTGTCGTTCTGCGGCCGGCCGTCGTCCTTGCGGTGGTGGCGCCGGCTGATGGTCTGACTCAGGGTGACGATGTAGCCAGCGCCTCCCTGAAACAGCGGCAACGCGGCCTCAGACGCCCGGCCGACGCGGACGTCACCTGGGCGGGTGCCGCGCGCCGCCCTGGGGAGTGGTGGCGCTCCCACCACGCCCGGCACAACACAAGGCACTGGCACTCCACGTGCCGCCCGAACAACACAAGACCGGATAATGCTGTGCGGATTTCTACTCCGCCGGCGAACCACCGGGACGGAGCAGGACATACATTTAGCACGGAGCGCAGCACAACACTCCGGACTGGACAGGGAACAACACTAACAGAGGTCGACGGGCCCGTACCACAGTGTCGGCGGGCGCGCCGGCGCCGGCGCCGCTCAGCCGGTGCGACGCATCACTCACGGCGTCCAGGTAGGGCGAGGAGAGCACCACGCGGCCCGGGTGCTCCAGCGCGCGCAGGTACCAGCTGCGACGGGTGGGCTCGAACCAGCTGTCCAGCGGCAGGCCCGGGTAGGCCACCAACACGCCGTTCGAGGTGGCCACGAACCTGAGGCGACGCCGTGTCACAGACTGGCGCGCGGGACGGGGCGGCGACACGCCAGGAGAGAGGTGTGCGGACCGACGGCGACCCGCAGATGGCGACGACACGGCGGCCCGACTGGCGCGCGCGCGCGCCAAAGACAAGTCTGCGATACACTGGGTGTCTTACGATCACTGGATGCAAAGATATAAGGCGACGTAAGATATAAAGCTCGTCAAAGGCGTTACCGGCCGTGCCGCTGGAGCTGAACAATTCCCGTGTAGCTACTGTCGCTCACTCGCCATCCCAGACACTTCCCAGCAGCGCTCCATCCACGGACATAACAACAGCACCACCCGCACGGTGGCCGCCTCCTCGACCGGCGCTGACTTACGTGCGCACGATGTAGCGGCCGCTGGAGCCGGGCTGCGCCAGCCGGCGCCGCCAGAGGGCCGCCACGCGGCTGGTGAGCGCCACGTCGTTGCGCACGCTCTGCTTCAGGCCCGGGTTGGCGATCAGCCAGGTGGGGTCCGTCAGGTAGGCCATGTAGCCCTGCACCACGCGGTATGACGGCTCGAAGCCCGTCAGGTGGTCGTACGGTGAGAGGAAGGCCGTGGCCGACAAGAACAGCGAGGCCGAGCCTGGCGGCACGCGCGCCGGCTGGTGTTACGGCGCGGCACGACGCGAAACAACACGACATGCCCGGAAGGACGATGTGATACGACATGCCAGGACGGACAATGTGATACTGTACAGCTGGCCACAGAGGTACAAACTGTGGTGGACTATTGTACAAAAGAACGCGAAGCTAACTGCAGCAACATGGAAATCGTGGAAACACGGATAGCATTTGTGATAGGCTGTGAATTGATGGACTTTGCGAGCATTACGCAGCAAAAAGCCGAAATGACTCGAAAGCCATCCAAATGATTAAGTTATGTTGCAAATGCACCGCCAAAATATCATGTACTATGAGGACAGGGCAATATCAAACTGTAATACAGAACCGGGGCGGGGGAGGGGGGGGGGGGGGGGGGAGGCATCCAACAGGCAGGAGGCGGACAACCCAAAGTTACTCTGATCCACACAGCTCATATCCAAAAATATCCCTAATATGAAAGGCTAAATCCGGCGGCAGTCCACTAAACCAGTGCACGAAACAGCTGAAAGCATCCGGGAGCATTCCGCGTCCGTGCGATATCCAATGTCCCACTGTCGCCGAAAGCCTGCGCTCGAATAACGCACTTCAATAAATCCAGGCCGTCACAGCGAGAGCAGAGATCCAGCCCGGTACAAGGCTGGCTATAGATGCCACGCGTCCATTGCATTTCACCCGAACCTAAAATTACCCGGTGCAGACGGGCGACGCTCCATCCCGGCAGCACGCGCCCACGCGCATTAACTATGCTCACTCGCGGAAGCCACGTGACCTTATAACATTACCGGTAGCGCCGCGGGTCGGCGCACCCAGCCTGCTACTGGGCGCGGACGTGTCGGCCGGGCAGCGTCAGCGATCCGGCGCCGCTAACAGACCGGCGCACCGCCCGAGCGCGTCCAATCAGTGCCGGGTGCGTCAACAGCTGACGGCTCTGGCGCGCCCCAGGGATCAGCGGGACGACGGCCGCCAACGGCGGCACCGTTGGCAGCTGTCCGACGGGCTCACGAGAGGCGCGGCCCGTCTCCCGGTCGACGGTGCCCAACTGGTGGTGCCTAGCAACGCTACCAACAGTTCACGAATAGTTGTACAACTGCGGATGGTGTTATGGAACCGTCGAGCAGAGAAAAAGCTGCCGGTGTGCCAATAACGGAACACTTCGTAGCTTTCTCATTCAGCATCGCATTCGAATCGAGAAATACACCGCCCTATACGCCAACAACGCGTGACGGATACCAGCCCGCACCGCCTGCATCGCCGTGCCTTCTCTTCCACAGATATCCACCTGAACCAGAAGGGACGGGGTCTCGGCGCGGCGCCACTCACTCATGGTGGCCATGTGCCGGAACTGGCGGCACAGCTTGACCTGGCGCGCCCGGCCTAGGTCGATGCGGTGGTAGACGAGGTCAGGCGGCGGCGTCTTGGGCGCCTGCGGCGGCCGGTCACGCCGCTCGTCCGGGTATGCGATGCACACTGTGTACGGGAAGTCCTGCACGCGCTGCCACGTATACAGCACGCGCACCTGGCCGCAGAGCGGGTAGTCGGATCAGGGGCGAGTGGGCGAGCAGCACGGCGGCGGGGCTGGCGATGGTGCGCAGCACGAACCTATGGCCTAGGACGGAATCGGAAGGACAGACGGGAACAACGGAATGGGAGCCGCGACGCTCCGGTACAGACGGTGTGGAGACGGCGGCCTGCACCGACAGGTCAAACAAGACATCGCGTGTGAGAAACGACGGCCTGGATTCGCCGGCTGGCTGCTTCTCAAACCAAAGGCGCAGCATCACTGACGAGGATGAAGCTACTTGGTGCTCCAGCCACTCTCCGGGGCGCACCAATCACAGCGCGGCCGTCCTCAGCGCCGTCCCTGGCGCCCCAGCGCCGTCCTCGGCGCTGCAGTAGTGACGGCGTGGCCGTCGCGGGCGCGCCGCTGTGTGTAACTCACGGTGACGTTGAAGCCGCGCTGGTCCCAGGTGCGATAACGCAGCACCTGGGAGCCGGACGAGGTGGACAGGACGAGGCGGCGCACGGCCGCGAAGCCGGGCCGGTGCTCCACGCTGCTGATGTCCGAGTGGAACGGGTGGCGCGGCTCCACCAGCGGCCGCGAAAACGACGGGTGCATCAGCGTGTAGCCTGCCGACGCGCACGGACGGGAGTCACCGGCCGCGCGTCCCACACGCACGGGCGTCACCGGCCACGCGTCCCACACAGCGGGCGTCACCGACCGTGCGTCCCACACGCACGGACGTCACCGGCCACGCGTCCCACACAGCGGGCGTCACCGGCCGTGCGTCCCACACGCACGGGCGTCACCGGCCACGCGTCCCACACAGCGGGCGTCACCGGCCGCGCGTCCCACACGCACGGGCGTCACCGGCCTCGCGTCCCACACGGGGGGCGTCACCGGCCGCGCGTCTCACACGCACGGGCGTCACCGGCCACGCGTCCCACACAGCGGGCGTCACCGGCTGCGCGTCCCACACAACGGGCGTCACCGGCCGCGCGTCTCACACGCACGGGCGTCACCGGCCGCGCGTCCCACACAGCGGGAGTCACCGGCCGCGCGTCTCACACGCACGGGCGTCACCGGCCGCGTGACACACACGGACGGGCGTCACCGGCGGCGCGTCACTGCAAGGCGGACCGGCGACAGGCAACAAACGAGCTCGGCACAGGTCATCGGCACAGGCAGGCTGGTCAACACAGGTCATCGACAGGACAGTGCGCAGGGCCAAGTCGACCACACAACAGCACGTCAAGCAATGACAAATGACAAGCAGTGCCTTTCCAACGATATTGACTGCCGCCAGTATCGAAACATTGCGCCGCCAAGCTCATTTTTTCTTCGAACAGAGCCCAAGCGTGACGAGCGTGCCTCGTGGCGTAGCAGTCGAGGCCCTCCAGAGCAGGCTGGGCATGCATCACATAGTCCCAAGAGATCTCCCTGTACTAAAACTGACCCTACAGTGGCTATGTATTCGCAACACCGCCTCTTGCCTCAGCTTACAGTTGCCACCGCGCCGTCCGGCCCGTTGGCACTGACCGTGGTCGTCTACGATGAAGGCGTACCGCCCGCCGATCTGGCTGAAGTAGGTGAGGTCCTCCACCAGGTCTGGCAGATGCAGGTCCATGCCCAGGATGCCGATGAAGTAGTCGACGTGGTAGCACGGCTGGGTGACGCTCACCACCAGGTCTGCAGGCAGCCGGGAGTCGGAGAGGTCACTCAGCGGTCAGATACGATCGGGCTGGGCGAAGCACTCAAGCGGATCTAACGGGTGACGATGAGAGGGGGCAGGGGGGAGGGGGTAGTCAGAAATCTGATCAGGGGAGAGGTAATGACGGGCGGGTCAAAGGTGTCAAGAGGCAGTACGGTCAGCAATGCACGTGAACTACAGCCCCGTCAACGCGTCAAAGAGCATGAGGCACCGCGGCCGAGGTGCCACCGAGACACCGACCACGCCTCAAACCGACCGCTTGCTGAGAAACATGCTCCCAGCACCACTGCTGCACCAGCCACACATTTATCTACACATCACCGAACACACAACCCAAACAGTGACGCTCACCAATCAGCGTGATCCACCATCAGCGCGCAGCAGCAGATGGCCATCGATGTAGCCCGTTCGGGATCGGGGACCCACCTTTGCTGACGGGGTCCCAGTAAGGCAGCGAGAAGTGGTGCTGGCTCTCCATGGTGCTGTTGAGCTTGTCAAACATCTTGCCGACCTGGAAGCTGAGCTGGTCGGTGGCGTTGATGACGAAGAGGCAGCCCGGCACCAGCCACTTCTTGAGGCTGATGTTGTAGCGCGAGAAGTCCTGGCCAGTGATGTGCTCCAGGAAGTCCCGCTCCAAGCTGTTCTGCGACTCTGCGGCGGTAGGTGGCGCTGACCACACGCCGACGGCCAGGTGGGCACCGGACGGACGGGTGGGGCAGCGCGAGAGCTAGACAGACACACGAAGGCAGATGCGAAGGCAGGGGGCACAAGATAGACAAAGATGGTCTAGAGACGGAAACGGAGCGGAACGGGAGCCCGTGGCCCTGGCGAGACTGGCGGGCCGGGCGTGAAACGGACGCGCGCTCCGCCGCGCAGAAAAAGCTGGTGAGATGCAAAAGCATGGGCATACCCACATAACAAAACATACTGCAGGCATACTGCAAAGAAGTCAGATGAATGAAAAAGTGTCCCATTAACAGCAGTTCATCAAACAATGAAGAAAAACACGTAACAGCTTTCGCTTGAGAGTTGGACGTACCAGCTCGACGAATTCGAACACTGGCAGCACGCGGACAGACCGCCGGAAACAGCACCACCCACTGACCGCTGGCGATGCCAAAGGCGTTGACGACAACGGAGGCGTTGATGCTCTGCTGGTAGCGCGCCATGACCTTCATGACCTGCTGCGGGTCGAAGAGCGAGCTGAGCACACCCCGGCTGATGTAGACGATCATCGCCTGGCCGGAGCGCTCGCGCAGCGCCGGCACGCGCGTCAACAGGTCGAACGCCGCCTCCAGGCCGAGCGTGTGGTTGGTCGGCGCTGCGGACAGAGGCGGGTCCCTAGTGACGCGTCGCGAAACGTCGCGCCGTTGGTCGCCGACCACTCAACGTGCAGTGTTCCCTCTGGGCACGCCAATCCGAAGAGTGCATCCAAAACAGGACTTTGCGGGCCATACGACCTTTATCCCCCGTCTGAAGAACATCGCGGGTCTTCCCACAGAGCACGAGGGTCACTCCTCCAGATAAATCGACGAAAACGTGTCACACAAGCTTTGTCAGCCAATATGTCCCAGCACCTGCCCATCTTTCATCAAACTGAATCATAACATATCTTGAATCCTTGCTAACAAAAATAACGCCACTACTTACATCCGGTGATCTTTTTTTTTGTTCGCTCGCAAGCAGTTCTGTGGCTGGACTTTGATGACAAAACAAAATTTAGGGTAGGGCTCCATCGGGCATTGCAGGGCCTCATACCGATGCGGTCCCAAGTTACATGGTGTCATCGTTAGTAATGAACAGATCTGGAACCATAATACCTGAGCGACGAACACGAAAAGTCGTCGGAAAGAACCCGCCAAACGCGACAGCCGCGGCCCCTCCCCGCCCGCTCCCGGAGGGAGGGGGGGGGGGCAGCCTCACCACTCGAGCGGCGGCACGTCTGGATGAAGTTATCCAGGAAGAACTTGGCCTCGCTGGTGGCGCTGCTGAGGCCGTGCCGCAGACAGTCACGCGCCGCCGGCCGCTGCACGCGCTCCGACACGGCCAGCACGGAGACGCGGTCGCTGTGACGCAGGGCGGCCAACAGCCGGGCGGCGGCGGCGCGGCTCAGCGCCATCTGGTGCGCGCTCGGCCGGCCGCCCACGTCCAGCAGCAGCACCACGTGCTTGGCCGCCGGGTACGCCGTCGACAGGAACACCTGCGAGGCGACGGTCGTCGGCGACGTCAGCGACCCGGGCACCGCTGCGGGACTGCTTACGGCCAGGGTGGGACGGCGGGGGGCGATGTACGTGCCGGTCGGAGACGTCCGCGGTGACGGTGCATGCCGAGAGGTGGCGGTGGCTCCTTCTGCAGCGGCGCAAGGAGACGGCAGGACACAGGCGTGCCAATATGAGAGTTATGCTGGTACCAAACGTGCCAAGTGAGATCTCCTGACAGCAGATGTGACGCACAGACCCAAACAGGACAGCCGGACGTCCACGCCGCCTCGCCATTCTTCAACTTCACCGAGCGCGTACGGTGGAAAACAAGGTGTTCAAGTTCGTTGTTCAGTCCAGATTCCTGCCTCCGAATGCCGTCAAAGCGCGACGACAAGAATGGCAGAGCAACACAAGTTAGATCACCGCCACCCTCGATTCTCCAGTCACCCGTAAGCATGGTGTAAGCAGTGCTGTAACGTACAGTGCCACCGTCTGCATCATGCGCAGTCGACGGCGGCCGGGGCGCGCGGCCCCGCCGCCGCCCCACCCACCTGCTGGTGCCTGGTGTCGTCATAGCCCGAGCAGTCGTGCTCGCTGGCAAACTTGTGCGCCGGGTACTCGCTGTGGATGCCATCCTTGGAGATAAAGAACTGCCACTTGATGGATGGATGGCTTTGTAGGTTTGAGACGAACGCTGCGTGGCACGGAGGCACGATGCACTGTTAACTCTGGCACCTACCTACAGAGGAATGCTCAACACATCACAGTGACACTGGGATTCCATGGTTGATATCACAGTCCACGGGGTGGTCGACCTCCTTTCCGGCTCTTTCCGCTTAACGGGCTTCTTCAGTCGGTATAAGCAGGCATTTGATGCGAACACGATTCAGCGGGAAGACTTGTTGCATTGACTTTCCAAAAACAGAATAAGTTCACCTAAAAACTGATACGCCATCTGCGTTAACAGTGTGCACAGAAATAATGCGGCTGCCCTAAATCAGGACATGTGGCTCGTGACATGAGCACTTGCAACGGTTAAGGAAACTTTGGATCCTGCACATACAACACTGCACAACACTGCGACTGCACTGCACAATACAACCAAGCCATATAAGCAAGAGATCAAAGTCAGATGATGGCTGTGATCAATGTCTGTGATAAAGCTACCATGCCAACCATGTCCATATTTGGATAAATAAGCGCCAACATCATTAGTAATGTAGCCAGCAGCCACGTCAATGCTTTGGATCATTAAACAATATTATGTGACACATCTGCACCTAACAAGAACCAGCACTTTCCTCTGTGGATGACGGCTAATTACACCACAGTCTTCAGAGGTGAGCAAACATTAGGAAGAAGGAACTATAACAAAAGACAAGATAAAAATGAAGGGCTTGATGTTGATGATGATTTGGGCTTTGGGGCTTTGGAATGAAGGGCTTTGCAATGAAATAAGACGGGTGATCGCCAGCCGCACAACAGCAAATACATTTTGCAACAGCTCACTGGATCTGCATGGATGGTAGTGATGACATACCGTCGGTGACGTTCCTGCCAGGGTTAAAGGCGAACGGCTCGATAAGGCTGGGTGCAATGTCGCACGTGGCGTTCAGGTTGACGGGAGCCCCGAACTTCAAAGAGTACCTAGACAGGGACAGTCGGCATAAGCACAGACCATGCCTCACGTCAGCACCTACAGACGGCACACACGTCTGCAACGTCAACGACGTCAGCAACAAAGAACGCTTCATCTTTTCGCCAGTGAACGATCTCGAGATTTGATGCAAGAGAGTTAGGACGACTGGAACGGCACCCCTGATAAACTTGAAGAAATTGCAACGCTCTTCCAGTGGAAAAAGCAATGTCAACCAACCATGAAACGCGCTAGCAAACGATAAAGACCAGCGCCGGCTGGCAGGCGTCCCTCTACCGAGCAGCACCGGCTAGTCCAGGGCAGGCCCGGCGTGCGGATAGGACGCCCTCCCCCCCCCCCCCCCCCCCCAACAACCACTACCACCACCGGCGCTGCGCCTCACGTGAGCTGACGGTCGTCCAGCGAGCAGCACGGAGTCACCGTCGTCATCGGGTCGTGCAAGTGCTTCCAGAACATGTCCTCGATGACGCCGCAGGTGCGCCAGAGCGCGCCGGCGTACCGGTGCAGCTTGGCCTGGATGTGCGAGGCGAGACGCTTCACCTCCTGGATGTCGGCGGCAGCCGGACCCGGCTCCGGTTCCGGCAGCTGGCTGTACACCGCCTGAGGGAGTCACGGCGCCGGGCTACAGGCCGACTCACGAAGGCGAGGCGATCGACAGAGGCAGGCACCATCACAGAGGGCACCGATGATCACATGCATGATACGATCAGGTGACGAAAACTGCTTCAACATCCAAACTGTGTGCAGTGTTAATGCACAGTTATGCACCCATCTTCAGCATTTGCCAAATGATGTGTGGGACATCACCAATATGCAAGTTATCATCAGAAACACAGCTTTGTAATCAAGTCTTTTGTGACAGATTGCTCATCTTTCTAACAAAACAAGGCACTGGATAATACAAATCACCCACCTGGAGCTTTTCAGCACCCATGTCTGTCCTGGCCAAATTGATGAGGTGTGATGACAACTGGCTGGCTCCAGTTCTGATGTTGATGCCTTTGAGGAAATCTGCAGATGCACTGTTGAATAATCTGGATTCCCTAAGGCTGAGCAAGAGGTTGTCCTGGATGGCTTTTTCCCTCATGTCCGCCAGCACCTTAGAGTCCACATTGTGGGCATATGATACTGGCTTTGTCTTGAGCCCTATGGCTGGCTTCACTACCAGGGCCAGGGCACAAATGCTGAACATTGTCAGCATACTCATTGCTGATGCTCTGTTGGATGCAATGTCAAGCATTCAAGTTATCAGCAATGACATTGCACAAAATACCTTTCCTGCACACATCTTGTTACTGCATGCTCATGCAGACTTGCAATCTATCAAGGCAGCATTTAAAGCTTTGGTAAAAATGGACTGTTCTCTCCATACATTACAGTTTATTATACAACATGTGTTTGCTCACATTGCTTGCAATCCTGACAGTCTGAAACAAAGGAGCACTATGTTAAGACCACCCTGATTGCAGTGGCATCCAGCCAAAAAGAACTCATGCAGAATGGCTGTAGAATAAAATATTCTAACCCTGTGACCATACTCTTATCATTTACTGACCCCAATTTCTGACTATCACAAAATTAAATATAGAAAATGTAATGAATGTGGTTCAGTATAGCATTTGATGCAGAGCTCATAGTTTGGTAAGTATGCTGCTAAAACACTGTTAATGAACAGAGTTTATAATACACACACTGGTTACACCATTTTAGCTCAAACCTTTTATCCTACAAGTAAACAAAAACAGTACAATCTGATGAGACCTAAATTAGCAAAACTGCAACATAATTGATACAGACCTTTGACCTTTCATGTATTTAACACATACCAGATGTGTTGCAAGAGACAATCCATTAAATAAGGTGATAATTTGTATCTGATCATACACAAATGTTCTTCCCTTTCAACACCATTACCCCGGGTGGCTGATTGGATACTCTTTGCTCAGGGGGTCAGGGCAGGAGTCAATCTGACCCCCTGAGATCTCAGCAACTAAGAGAGCTAGAGATACCAAATTTGTAGTGTGTGTTAACATGTACATGAACCCACTTAAATCAAAGTTTAAAATTCCTAGGTCATGACCTTTAGGCCAAATAAGGTCAAACAAGGTCAAATTCCCAGTTGGCCTCCAAAAGGGATGACACTAGGCAGTAAATTCCTAAAATCAACATGTTGACCTGGGCCATTCCTGGTTAGTGACCATTTCTGACTGTTAAGAAGTCTATGGAAGATACACAATGCAGCTCCTGTTATCAATAAATTCCAAATGAGCACCAGGAACTATCTCATGCATCAAGTGCTATAGCAATAAAAGAAGTTGGTTTTCACCATGGTCTGACCTTCATACCTGACCTTAGCAATTTCAAACCTGCCCAAACTACCAGAAATGCAAACCAGACACAAAACAAGTACATCATGATCCTATGTCTCATTACCATGCTTCTTTGAACATAAGCAATCAACCACCACAGACTCAGCCTGTGGAACAAAATGACACAGACAAATTGGATGGCAAGACCATGAAATCAGCATGTTAGGTAGTCATTGTAATGGCATGATATTGAGACAGTCACTGGCCATTTTGGGTAAAACATGGTACACATCTGCCTATTACTAATGAGGTTTTCCTCGAGGTTTCGTGAAGATCAACATACAGGCTACAATTGTAAAACTGGGCAATAAGAAGCAGGGCATAATTGACCATGACGGCATACACCTATCCTCTTCATTGTTGTAAATAACGGCGTGAAGAGAAACGTGTTACCCGGGTTACTAAAATAGCTGGTTACTGGGTATCCAAATGGCCTACAAGTGGCCAAATTTAGCCTCACATTTGCAACCTCCAAATCACTCACCGCAAAGAATATCATGTAGAATAACCCTACCCTACGCTCCAACATGCGCACGCAATTTATTGTTGGTACAATGAGTCTGCGCCATTTACGTCGCAACTTTGAGAAGATATAGCCATGTAAATAATCCTTGTGACCAAAAATATTTGTAAACCAGACGGCAACGCTTCAAATAGATTGCCATCATGAAAAGATATATGATGCTATGCAGGGGTTCAAACATAAAGATGAATTTCATAAATAAATTTCAGGGCTCAAAACTGAGGCTTAACATAATGGAACAGGGTTCTGTGTCTAGCAGAGAAGAAGACAAATATTTGGCGTAATATTGGCTTGGAACTCGTCAGCTAGACTTCTGCGTGTGGTAAATATAACAGTACACACCACTACAAACAGATACGGAGGTGGTCTGCGGTGGGGCGCCGCGTGAGCGCAGATGCACTGATTAGTTCAGTTTTTAAACCCTGTAGCCAATACGCAGCTGAAAATAACAAAGGCCGCAATTATGCATGTTGTGGGCTTTCCAGGGGATGCAAATTTTGATTGACGGATAGTTGGCAACTCTGGGCCTTTGTAGGTGCAAGCCTGACACGGGACCCCCTGCTTCAATCTGGCTGAAGTGTCAGTAAGCCCCCAACAATCAAATAAACTCTCCATCATCCAAGGAGCCAGTGATGCTGATATTCAGGATTGACATATCATTGAGAATTGTGGCTAGTGATCAACTGATGAACTTGACTTGCAGGGTAGTCCTGAGATTGGGAAATGGGGATCACATGTCATCAGGATAAGCATTTAGGCTTTTGTGGCTTCCCTGTTACCTCTGGAAATTGCTTGCAGGAGTGAATGCAAATTTTGTAAGCTAAAATATTTCATGAAGTAAGGTGGTTGTATATTAGATAATGGGTGTTACCAAAGTTACCTGTCAATATGCATTGACCACAGCCATGAAGGCTTCACAAGAATGAAGAAACAAGAACACTTGAAAAAGGTTTGTGTAGCAAGCTACTGCAACAGTACAGAGGCATACTAAGAATGAGTTCACACCTTACTTTGCCTTAGAGTGATCAATAATTATAAAATGTCACAAAGTCTGTTGGTCCCAGTCTCATCATGCTCCTGGTCCAGTAGCTAAAAAGTCTCAAATTATAGGTAGATTCAGTGTGGAATGTCATAAATGATGTCTGCCTAGTGCATATCAAGCCTAGGCTTTAACTGTGCAACTGTAATTGATATAACTGGGTTTGCAAGATTATTTGAATCATTGACAACTGATGTGCTGAACAAGTTAGATGGACAAGAGTCCTAGCTGGAGATTTTCTTACTTTTCATTGGTGTCCTCTTGTCACCTCTGAATTGTGTCTTGTCAGTAGTTCATCTGGCAGCAACATACCTCTATGAAACAGCTGATGTGCTGTAACCATGTCTCCTCTGCAAGGGGGTGGACAGCAAAGGCTACTAGAGTAGTCTGAGCCCCTCAGGGCATGGCTGAGGTCTCACTTCATGCATAAGGCATGTAGCTTGTCACTGAACCACTCCAGCCACTCCTGATGCAGTCTGCATAATGGGCCCCAGGTGATGTTGCCATACTCAAAGTAAGAGTGTACTGCAATCTTGAAGAGCAGTGACAGAGTGTAAACAGGGATGTTGGTCAACTACCACCTTACAACTGCCAGCATCTGGTTGATCTTCTAGGTGGCCTCCACCATCTGCACCTGGAATGTGAGCCTATGGTCCATGAAGATCCTGAGGTCCTGGTGGGCTCACTGTGATTGCGGTGCCAATTAAGAAGTAGGTCGGCCTCATGTTGCAATTCCTGATGTGTATTACTTTTCACAGTGGTGCATTAAGAGAAAGCAGCCACTCCTCTGTTCACTTGGCCAGGGCATCAAAGTCTGCCTGTAGATGAAACCTAGCCAGGGACCTCAGGACACAACAGTATATCTTGGTGTCATCCACAAAGATCTTGACCATGCTTCACCCTTGGTCTGGTGGGTTGTTCGCAAAGATTATGAATAGAGTTGGTCCCAGCACTGATCCTTGTGGGGGATGCTGCTGATGACATTGATCCAGTCCAACTTCAAGCCCTGGACCCGCACTCTCTGCATCTGGAGGGTAAGGAATCCGGTGCATCCAGCACAGCAAGTTACATCTCACACCACCATAAGCATGAAACTCAAAGAACAGACACTTATGAGGCCCAGAATCAAGGCGTTGCTGAAGTCCAGGTGTGCCACATCCACCGGCTCTCCATCCTCTGCTGTGGCGCTCCAATCTTCCATGGCTTCTAATAGCTGGGTGATACAAGGCCACTTTGGGACAAACCCATGCTGGGCTGCATGAAGTCGAGACTGAGAAGTGGTTAATCAGGGCATCCCTGGCAATAGATTGGAGTACCTTGGAGGAAACGGCAGTAACACCCATTGGGTGGTAGCTCGCTGGGGAATGTCGGTTACCCTTCTTGAAGATCAGGGCTACTTCACCAATTTTCTACTCTTGGGGAAGCCTTCCAGATGCCAATGGTTTTCGGAAAAGCATGCTCGGGTAGTGCCAGGACGTCTGCAAACTCATGAAGAAGCCTTGGGTGTGCATCATCTGGTCCCGGGGCGCCCGAAGATATCAGTCATCCAGGGGTCATCGAGGCCACCCGCAACCGGCTGCAAAAAGGTTGCAAGGCATCACAGGCACGGCATTAGGCCCGTCTTCCGTGAAAACACTGGCAAAGAATTCACAGACGACTTTGACTTCTCCTTCGTTGCTGCTAGTCAACACTCCATTATCGTCTAGAAGGTCTTCCACCCTGCATGTTGTGCGTAGTCTTGAGTTGGCGTACCTCCAAAAGGCTTTGGGGCTTCTGCTGAGGTCTGCTACCAGTTTCATCTCATACTCTTTCCGAAGGCTTCTGATCAACTTTCTGAGGTCATTGAAACACCGCACAAACTTGGCAAAATGCAGAGCATCCACAGTAGTTCATGTGGAATTTATGCAGGTAATAGGTCTATGTCTCTTGAAGGCAATTTAGTCCAGGCAATCCCAAGAAGAGGTTGGTCATAAGCATCACATACCGGCTCTTTTTAGGTGTTTTTCTTCATGCATAGCTTGCCCCTGCTTGTAAATGGAGAGCAGGATGCCATGAAGTGTTTTTGACAATGTCCCCTTAATAAAATATCCACTACGAATGTATGATCATCATGGATCACTTCATATAAAGGACATTTTTGCTTCAATAAAACTGTCCATGTCACATCAGTTACACGATATGCCTCAGTTTGGGCTTTAATTGAGCATGGGTGCCCTACTGAGGTCAAGGAAATAGAAATAAAATGGAACAAATCACAAGCTCTCCCATAATGCCTGCACTGATTATGCGTGAAGGAAGGCCTTCCAGGTATTCAGAGAACTTCTAAGTTTGTGTATGAGATTCAAAACTATGGTTGCATCATGTCTCATGTCATGTCTTATGTCTTCTGCCTCTGAGAAGGCTCTCCAAAGTCTTCAGGGGATTTAGGGATTTAGGAGGCGAGGAAGCAATGTACAGGACATGCTCAATAATGGTAACCCATCAAGCTGTGAGGGCTCTTGAATTTCTGAATCATTGTTTAATAGACTGAGTCACTGCCAATGTTGTGCCACTGTGCCACAGTTGTGCTGGCGTAGCCTGCGAGGCCACAGTGCTTAGTTGCCATTTGTGTTCTGGAACTTTTTATATATTTGTCCATCATCTGTTTCAGACTTGTGTACAGTCATGATCTATTTTTGCTCCTACAGGCTGTAACCACCTGTGCTATACATGTACATAGATAGACAACAGGGCCAGATGGCATACCTGCAGAGCTCCTGTCATCTTTTCACATCATTGATGAGCTGACCGCATTGAGACGGCGCATTGCCCTGAGTGACAGTATCCCCTGGCGGCCGACCGGCAGAGACCGGCTGTCTTTTATGAGGAGCCGGGCAATGAGGGCCACATGGTACTCAACGTGCCGGAGTCGCTGGCCGGCCGAGACGGCGTCATCCGGCTACGTCAGGTGGCCGCCACCGACGGCAGCGTCCACTACGTGCCGGCCAAGTACCCGGACCACGGGGCCGACTCATCCGGTACGCGGCGGAGACGCTCGGGCCAACACCAGGATCAGGATCAGCCGGCTGTTCCTGGAAATGTGTTGATTGTGTGCAACTTACGGGCATCTGGATCGCCATGATTTTTGGAATGAAGGGACAGCAAATAGGCTGGAAAGCTGTTTTGTCTAGGCTGTCTTTGCTTTATTTTTTTTCTAAAATACTCGTTATTTTCTACGCTGATAACAATTACTGCCCAGTTGACAGTTGCTCTTCACAGAGGAGGACGAAAGAAGCACCAAAAATGCCTCTGAAAATTCTTCTAATGCCTCTACTCAGCAGGTGTGTTAGTGTTGTGCAGTGCCCTGGCCCGGAAAAACATATCCCGGCTTTGCTTTCTTTGCATACTTTACCGCGCTGTGTATTATGCCGTGATCTTGCGAACAAGACTTGGTCAACGCATGCCGTACATTCACGACCGTAAGCCTCCCGTCTGCCCGCGCCGTGCGCGCGCCGCCGCGGTCCTCCCGTGCGGGTCTGCTCGTGCCTCGCTTGACACCGTGCCCGCGTGATGTAGCCGCCGGCGGCGGCCGGCTGGCCGGAGCGGTGCTTCGTGTGCGGCGACTGGGCCGACTCGGGCCTGGTGCCGCTGATCGCCGGCCGGCCGCCGCTGGTGGCGCTGCTGGTGGAGGCGGCCGGCCGAAATCTGCTCGTCGGTCCAGCAGATGGCGCTTGCGCCGTGTGCGCCGGCCTGCTGGCGCGCTGCGACCGGGCCGGCTCCGTCCGACGGGTACGTCTAGCGAGGGGCTCAAGGGGGGGGGGGGGGGGCGGCTAGCACGCTCTCGTGGCGTTACGATGCGGACTCTGGAAAGGAATACAGATGAAAAGTGGCGGCTGTTTGACGCATCTGTATCAGTGCTGTATTCAGTCCGTCATGCTCCAAGAAATAGCCACAGGTCTAACGCGCCCGAACTCTGCCCGCGAGGCCGCGAGTTGCGTGCTGGACGTGTCGCGGCCCGCACGTGCCGCCTCGCGTGCACCAGTCCGTCGTCTCCACCAACAAATGCCGCACCCCGTGTGCAGTCGTGTGGCGGCCCTGTCAGCGCGGTGACGGCGCGCGGTGTCGCCATCAGGACGCGTCGGACCACATCCAGACCACGATGCTGGCCAGGCTGCCGGACGATCGGGCCACCCGTCCCGCCGACGCGGGGACCGGCTCGAGGCCCACGGGTGAGTCTGCCACAGCCCGAGGCACGGGCCGGTCTCAGCGGTGACGGCGGGGCGCGTCGGTGGGGTCGACGGGTGACGGCGCGGCAGTGGGGCCCAGCATGCAGTCCTGATCATCTGCGGCTGTCCAGTTAATTACCAGCCGCGTCGTCTGACCACTGATGTGTCGCCGCAAGCTGTGATGCCGCCCTGTCGTCTTGACTCGGTGCTGCCGCTGTGTTCGGCGTCTTCAGGCGGGCGCTGTCCGACCCTGCTGAGCGGGCCCGGTCAGAGGACGCCCTCCAACGGCAGAGCGGGCTTGAGGACGCCACGACGGCCCTACACCAGGCACGCTCAGCCCCCTGGCGGCCAGCTCCAGGTCAGCGCTCTGTCAGCCATGCCACGCATTGCGGAATGGTGCGACACTGTCGTCGCAAAAGATGGGGTATAATGCCCGGGAATACGTGATGGTTGTAGGAGGTCAAAGCTTTGGCAGCGAACAGTCTAATCCGTGTAAAATAGGGAATGGTTGTAAGAGGTCAAGGCTTCGGTGGCTCGTTCGCCTAGTCGTTTTGGTTTCCCAAAGAGCAGAGCTGGCTTCCAGGTCTGTGGTTGTAACCGAAGTAAGTCGTTACATTTCGTCAGCCATCTGCAGATAAATGTTACTTTGTGAAGCATTGCAGCTGGTCACGAACTTGGACGCGTTGCATTTTTAGACGTTGCCTTTAATATGATGTGCACCTGCCTCAATCAGCTGCAATCATACAGAATCAAACAAGCACACTACTGCCTTCTGTGACATTTTGTTCGTGTGCCTGCCATCTCCTCCTGCTTCTCCTCGGAATGGTGGTGTTGTGGTTATGGCCCGCTCCGTCCTAAGCAGCCCATATTTTCAGGGGACGGCTCTTGCGGCTGGCGGGGTGGCGTTGCAGCCGCCGGTCGTCTCCGGTGAGCATTGGCTGATGCATGACATTAGAGCTCCATGTATTGCCCCTTGCCGTGTTTGGTGGTCAGTCCTAATGCCAGGCCTTCTTCCCGGGCCGGATGTCACAAGTACAAATGTGAGGGAGGCCCTTAAAACCTGCCCTCTGCTGCAGTAAAAAACACTTGGTGGGTGGAATGTGATGTCCTCCATGCGCACTGTCGAGTCACAGGGGACCAACGGAATTATACCACAAGCCAGCAAAAAGTTCAACCTGACATTTCGTTAGGTCAATTTGGGGCTAGTAGGCATGGTACGGCCGTCTGATTTGAAGTATGATTCCACGTATATTTCATGTTGGACTGGCCTTCGTGCCAATGTAGCAGGTGTACCTTTCATATCTAAGCCATCGGGTACGGGACTGCTCGTCTCTTTAATTACGACAGAGACCTTAAGCCGACCGGGGCCGGCGGCCGCGTGCTACCCCGGGCCGTCCGCCCGCCGTTCGGACCGGCCCTGTCTCGTGCCACCGCCGTTACCTCCGCGGCCGCCGCCCCCAGAGCCGGCGCCGGGCCCGCGTTGTCCTGTCTGCCGGCTGCCGTTCCGCTCGGCCGCCACGCTGCGCGGCCACATGAACCGGCACACGGGCCAGCGGCCGCACCGCTGCCCCGACTGTCCGGCCGCCTTCGCCTCCCCCTCGACGCTGTTCATGCACCGGCGCTTCCGCCACACGGGCGAGCGGCCGTACGCCTGCCACGTGTGCGAGCGCCACTTCGCCACGCGCGCCATCCTTCTCGTGCACCGGCGCCGCCACACCGGCGAGCGGCCGTTCAGCTGCCCGCACTGCGTGCGCGCCTACACGAGCCGCAACGCGCTCAGCCAGCACGTGCGCTCGCACGCGCCCGCCGCGCCGGTGACGGAGATCGTGGTGACGGTGAACAGGCGGGCGCACGCGAGCCTTCGGTGAGAAGCGGGCGCCGCGCCGGTGACGGAGATCGTGGTGACTGTGAACAGGCGGGCGCACGCGAGCCTTCGGTGAGAAGCGGGCGCCGCGCCGGTGACGGAGATCGTGGTGACTGTGAACAGGCGGGCGCCCGCGAGCCTTTGGTGAGAAGCGGGCGCCGCGATTGCCAGGTGCGCTGGAAGTTGCGTGGCACGCGGCGCCGGCGGGTTCCTGCGGCGCGCTGTCGACTGGGGGAGGGGGTGGCTTGAAGGAGTGTCGGCCCGCTCGTGTATGTCGGTGACTCTCCGAGGTCGTCGCCGTTCCTCGGCCACGCCCAAGCCTGAACCGGCTTTTTTGCACAACCAATGACCTTTCCATTGCTGTGTCGTCTTAACGCGGAGCAGATTCGGCGGGCCTCGCATGTGCAAGAATGCCTTGTGTTCCGCTTCTCGAGCTGTTTAACGGTGCTTTTCTTGTCCGATTCTGAAAATAAATTCCTATGTAATTGTTGCATCCTTGGACTGTTTGTGTATCCCCTCACCTCAGCTTCGTATTGCCACAAGATAACTGACCGTCATAGCACATCTGGTCACCACGCGAGGACACTGTAATATGTTTAGCAGTGGATTCCCATGACGACCACGACCCCGACATCAGCCAAAATGTTAAAATGTCTCTCACGGCAAGATGTCCGCGCGACATCCAACGCAGCGTACCTCATAAGTCCCTAGAGCATTTAGGGGCTCTAGGAAACATTTGTACGGGTTGTTTGATACGACAGTAAAGTTGTACGGGTAAAATAATTATTCAGCTTTCAGCCACGTACGCGTCAACCCGAATCTTCGGCTTGGGATTCCTGAGATTCGGACCGGGGTCCCTCCCGGTTAGCCCAGTGGTAGAGCGCTTAACTCGTCAAAAGGCCTCGTCGGAAGGCCTCTGTTCACACCCAATAATTTCAAGTAGAGTTCCAGCTGTAATAGCTGTAATGGCTGCAGGTAGAACACAATCCAGGAGTGTCTTCCCTCTTGGAACTCCTGCGATTGCAACTGGGGTCTTACGAGTACTTATAGTTCATTAATAGCACCTAACGATGGTCAGAGCTCGCTGGCCGAAACGTCGTGAGATACTCACACACCAGCAGATGACGATAGCACCAACTGGTTCCATCCATCGGCAGAGTTCAGAGCGTCTCGGTCGAACGGAAAGCCGACCACACTACGGCGACAAATAACCTCAGCCACCTGGATGAATCATGGAGCGATTTATGGGTGGCGTAGGACGAAGCGTGGTTCGAACTACTGCATTCGCCACGCTAGGGATACTGGACTGTCTGGGCACCGTGGAGCTTGGAGGCGGCGGCGCTGGCTGCCACACCGGCTCGACATATAGCGTGATGTACCGTTAGTGATGTCTGGGTATACCGCATCCCAGAAACAGAGTGCTGAAGCTGTGTGAGTAAAGGCCATGCGCGGAGAGCCGCCAAAAGAGCACACCTGAGCCGAGCCTGCCTGTATTGGGAAGATCGAGCGCACAAAGGTCAGCCGCGGGACGGATCGCACCGGCCGCTGAATCCGAACAGAGACAGGTCTTGTTTGCCGTTTACGTACCGCACGACGGTCATCAGTCGCGAAAGAGTACAGCATCAACCCACACTTTCCGAGCATTGACGCCAGTTCTGCGCCCGGCACCTCCACCACGGGCATCGCAGCAGCGGAGACAGCCGCGCTGAGAACCAAGCGCTGTCTACCATGTTTGGTCGACAGGCAGCCGCTGCCCGAATCCGCCCACAACGGACCGCCGAGGGCGCCGTACTGTACTGTTCAATCACATCGCACCTGTCGTGCTCTAGGTGGTCTTAGAAAAAGGCAAAGCGAGTGGTACGCCAAACAGCGAGTACAAAACATAACGCACATATCACGTGGCAGACTTCAGCTTAATGGTGGAGCATGCCCCGCTCGGATTAACGATACCATAAGTACATGGCAGGCTATGATTAACAGGGAAAACCAATGTGCAAAAGAATCACCGTTTTCAGCGTTACAACTCACCACTATATATAAACATACAAAAAGCCGAAATATTCTCGGCCAAAGCAGTCACAGCACAATGTGATAAAACAAAATCCGCTAAGTAGCAACACACCATATGCTTGGCGGAACACAGTCAAATACAGAGACCCTACTGGTTGGATCACATCTCGTGGTCCAAGACATATAGCATACAGCCAGCGTTTACTAGACCTAAGCAGCATACGTCATGTGCACAGGACATATCAGAAAGAGCCACCCGAAACTGTAAGGCTCTGGGTTGCTGGTTGTGCCGCGTTCCAAATAATGCAATCTGACGAACAAACCGCCACGCTCAGGACACGGTCTTTCGCAAAGCGTTTTCCGATATGAACGGGCGCCACCCATAAAGCATACCACACGGCTCTGCCAGGTGGGAGCCACCAAAAATATCAGCCTTTCTAACGCGAGCTGCTTATCATAACAAAGTCATTGTTCCCACTCCAGATTAGCATTATCGCCCACCCAAAATCCTATCTTATCCGACGCCGTGCAGTCCATCGGCATCACAATCACACAAACAGCCTCGGCTTGGCCGGGTCGCGTCGTCACCGTCAGCGTCTGGCGCCGTATGTAGTGAGCGCCCGGCGCAGCTGGCGCCGCGTGGCGTCCCGCCCGGCGCAGCTGGCGCCGCATGTAGTCAGCGCCTGGCGCAGCTGGCGCCGCGTGCCGTCAGCGCCTGGCGCAGCTGACGCCGCGTGCCGTCAGCGTCCAGCGCAGCTGGCGCCGCGTGCCGCCCCGCCCGGCGGCGACGGCATCAGTGCCGTGCGGCCGCTACTGGGTAAGCCGCTTGGCGGAAATGAGCCGAACCTGGCGCCAGATAGACGGCCGGTCCATGGTCGAGATCTTACGCACCAGGTCCAACCCCTGGCGCACGTAGCCGAACACCAGCGTGTAGCGGTACGGGCGGTAGTCGCGCTCTTCGGAGACCCAGATCATGAACTGCGAGCCGATCTGACCGCGCTTGTTGCCGTCGACGATCACCGTGCCTGCAATGAGCCGTCACACAGCGTCAGTCATGCCGACAAACCACCACCACCGCTGGGACACGAGCCCACTGAGGCATCACTCACCAAGACAGCCACAATACGGCCAGTCAACAGTGGCAGGGCATCCAGCCACTCCGAAGCTGCATGTCTGCACATGCATTTGCTACCTCTGCTTCGACGGTGCCTGACAACGCACCGCTTGCCACTCGCCAGGTGCCCCAGCGGATAAAACACGGGTGCGCAGACATCCAGCACCACGAACCGAACATTGTCAACACGCAGTTCGAGTCACAAGAGTAATTCGATTATTTGGGCACGTGCAGTCTGCTGACCGAGTCACCAAATTATCATAGCATACTTTTAAACTAACAAACATACCATGCTAGCGTACCATCAAACAGCAATCACTACATAATATTTACAAAGCATATCAAAATACAAAATCAGCACAGCATGGTTGCCTACAAAGCAAGATGTGCATGTTTTGCACATCTGGTATGGCTGTGAATATATGCATGCAAGATGTATATATTCATATAGCTATGTAGATACGAAATACGATGTATGGCTATGAAATTAAGGCACTTCAGGTTCCACAGCTCTGTAAGGCATCCTACCCATCTCAGTACATGAGCAGTGTATTTCGCGGACGGCAGCGGAGGCCCATCGGAGACAGCCTGCCGTCGCCAGGCCGGCCGATCTCGCCACGCACCCATGCCCTTCATGCGTATGGCGCCGCACTCGTCCTGCAGCGGACACATGTCGGCGGCGATGAACTTCTTGCCGGAGTCGGCCAGCAGAGAGAAGCCCTCGTCGTCGTCCACCCGGCCGCCGAGCAGGTAGTCGTTGGCCGTGGCGAAGTGAAACCCTGCGGAAGGGCGGCGTTCGGCGGCGTCAGGCGGGCCGCGGAGGGGCACAGCTCGGGCGAGGCGGCGCTCGGCGGCGTCAGGCGTGCCGCGGAGGGGCGCAGCTCGAGCGGGGTGGCGCTCGGAGGCGTCAGGCGGACCGCGGAGGGGCGCAGCTCGAGCGGGGCGGCGCTCGGCGGCGTCAGGCGGACCGCGGAGGGGCGCAACTCGGGCGGGGCGGGGTACGGCGGCGGCCGGCCGTGCTCGGCGGACACAGGCGGCCACCTTCTATTGTCACGTACTTTTGTCACCGCTCGTCTAGTGTCTGTTTCGGATGTTTCGACTGCACGGGCCGTTTGTCGTTTCTTTCTGTTTTGTTAAATGGCTCGGATAACATGGTGTGGTAAATTCCCACGGGTCAAATCATGACCTCACACTGGAAAGGATCGCGGCTACCCTTTCACCAATCCGTGATGCATACGCAGCGCCCTCCTCCTCTCGACAGCCAGCACGTGGGGCCGGCACGCGCCACTCACTCGTGTTGTTGTACAATCCAGCGTCGCACAGCGAGATGAAATTCTTGCACATGATGGGCGCCATGTCGGGCCGCAGCTCGATGATGACGTCACCCGTGTCCGTGCCGGTCGTGACCTGCAGGCGGTAGTACGGGCGGCCGTCGCCGCGTAGTGCCCGCGGCACGGCCGCGGCACGCGCCGGCGCCGGCTCCACCGGCGCGCTCGCCTGTTTCAACACGTTGGAGAACGTCACCTTACGGGCCGCCGGCCCGCTCGACACGGCGCCGGTGGCCGGAGAGACGGCCTTTCCAGTGACCGGGTCCATGATGTGAATGCGATGGACATTCGCACCATGGCTGGACACGGACGTGACCGTTACCGTGCCAGTGGCTCGTCCATCGGGTAAGACGACGGCACGTTTTCCACTAGCCGTTCCACTGGACTTGGCAGCCTCGCCAGTGCTTGCGCTCTTATTCGTCAAGGTGGCTTTTCCGACGGCTTTATCATTCGCGGGCCCATTAGACATGGTGGTGTCGTTACCTTTAACGGAGCGATTGGGCGAAGCCGCGATGCTGCTGGTGACCTTGCTATCATTGGCTGTAGCAGTTGCTCTATCAGACGCTACACTGTTCACTTTGGTGGCGGCTTTACCGTTTGCCGTTTTGCCGTTGGCGGTCTTGCCGGCTGTGTCCCCGGGTGTGGTGCTGGTTTTACCGTTGGCTTTATCCTTGGCTATGGTGACCGATTTGCCCGCAACATAGGATACATTGTCAGGTTTACCAGTGTCGCCGGAGGCGCTTGCAGCTTTGCTAATGCCACTGGGGGCTTTTACAGCGCCGCCCTGTGCACTAGCAGTATTACCACGGGTTACGTTGTTGGATTCTTGGCTTCCAATTGCCTCCGCCTTTTCGTCATCATCAGACGATGCCATATGATCCAAAGAATACAGGAAAATGCTTGCGCCCATCAACGCTTTCACAACATTTTCATCGCGCATCCAATCACCAACGGCAAACGTGATGCGTGAGCCGTTGGTCCGTAAGGACACCTCTGCACTGGAGTCGAGTAAATTCTCACATCTACGTGCCAGACTGGAAGTTTCTTCCAAGCTCGTCATGGTGTGGGATATATGCGATTCCACATTTTTGAAAGTGTCCGAGAGATCTTCATTCGGGAGGAACTCAATAGCTTCCCGTTTCCTCTCCAATTCTCGCAAAATATCATCATCTAGTTGTAAGTCCATATCATAATCTTCTATAGTTCTACCAACGGATTTGGCGGCGGCCGCAAGGACGTTGTACGCTTGTCTATAGAGATCGAGCGTGGTCGATCGTTTGATTTTGATGGCCTCCGTGTTTTCGGCGCCCTTCAAGGCCATCCCTCGTAGAACCTCGCGGATTTCCGACAGCCTCAGCAGCTCGTGCTCTCCGCACTTCTCAGTCGCCAACGTCACACAGCTGACGCAGAACATCTCCAAACTGCGGTAAAGACAAAACGTCAACACGGGGAGAAAACATACGGCTGTTCAAGGTAAATGAAAAACGTGACATAACACAGCTGTTCATCATCACCGATAACCCCCCAGTCGTTCAATACCTTCGGACATACCAAACTGATAAGGCTGTTAGCACCGCCAGGACACACGCCGCTGTCATAACGACACAACCTCGTTTTCGAAATTTCAGCCCAGACATCACGCCCACACTCCCCATACGTGGCCGATGTGTTTCCATGAGACGCATGCTAGGTTTCTGAGTATGCAACAAGTTGCGCTTCCGCAATCATTGTTGCGGACATCTTGTGCTATTGCCCCAGTTCCCTCCAGCACAGGCAACGATGCATCAGCACGCACCCAGATCCTTTTCGAGGAGAGTTATCCCAGACAGATATTTTGTATCTTAAGTAGGGAAAATCGATGAAAAATATCTGCTGGTAAAACGGTGTCTGTCAAAAGGTGCTGGTCGGCCCATTTCCTGCCTTTCTACACCCGCCGAAAGCCGTGCACATGCATTATAAGCACGCCTCCCAGGCAAACAAATCGTGTTTTCGGGTCGCTGCGTCGTGCAACGCGTCTGGCGCGCGCTTATGCGCATGACCTATCACTTTGGCACAACATCTGTCCAGCGATTCATCTTTAAGGTCGTAACTATTCTGGCAAATGGGATCGTGTCGCCGTGGCTATTAGAACGGTTTCAAGGAGAGGGGGATCTATGGTCACACCTCCGAGCGTGGCGATGCGACCAAAAGGTGACCGCGGTGGCAAATTCGATGACCATTCTAATCTTGTTCGAGCCGATATGGTTTCAACACGCGTCCATTCAAACCAAACACATGCAGAACACCGGAAACTCCGTCACTTTGAAAACTTGCATTCGGTTGACGGCACCAACACAGTTACCCGGTTTACATGGGCAGCCGAGGATAATTCGAATTAAGATCGGAACGGATCATGCGACGTTAACCCTCTCGGCGAGGGGCGTTTACATGGGCGAAACCGGCTTTACGTCGGATTAACGGTCGATAGTTCGATCCCGCTTAGTTCGAACCAAGGAACGGGTTATGGGCGAAAACTGCGCTTTTGAGGCGAACTGAACAAAACAAGAAGAAAAAAGCCGGTACTCTGCGTATGGATGGCGAATGTCACGAGCCATGGTGGGCGCGAGACAGCTTTGAGGGCGAGGAGGAAGATGGACTCCGTTGGAAAAATGATCTGTGCGGGACTCATAGGCTTTGTAGCTACAGCACACGCCATAGCACTTGAAACACAGGAGTTGCGCAGTCAGCACTGTCAAATCTGTCACATAAGCAGTGTTATATGCAAATTTTTACTAGCAGGAAACTGGCTAGCACGAAATCAGTATTTTCTTGTATTGGCCAATGACACTCACAAACTTACCACACTCATCAGTATGCCACCCAGCACCACGTCATCTACTTTGCGCAGCCCAAGAAACACATTACCTAATCCCGCACCAATGCATTTATGAGCAGCCTGCAACAGTGAGCTAAGCTACAGAAATGACTCGTGAATGCTACATAGTGGCAAAAATTGTGTAACTATGTTGTCTTTCCCCATCCAATGCATCATCAGTACCTGAGGGCAGCATTGCCATTTAGACTTGGCATGGACTGGCAAGTCAGAATGCAGCTATTTGCTTTCTTGACATACTAGGGTTGAAATACTGCTTTGATATCCTTGCAGTCAACAGCATTGGCTGATATGGACTGATGGCTAGGTGGCACAAACAGCCGTGTTCGCATAGTCCAAAGATCATAACATGAACCAGCCCCAAAGCTGTCATGACAAAAGCAATCTGGGCTCAAAATTCATAACAAATGATTAATTATAGCAACAGCTCAATTATCCACCTCATGGTTTGCAAAGATACGTGTCACAAAAAAGCACCGAGGCAACATATTTACTCACCAGTACAAAAACAGGTAATGATGTGCACTGCAGATGTTCTCTGCACATCATGTGGCATTAGGTTAGGTTTACTTAGTTTATGCACTGTTTTCTTCCACATGAAATGCACAACCCTGGATTTGACAGAGTACTGATGACAGCTAATTTCATCCAGTGCTCACGTTTGCTTTCTTGACATTTTGGAACCATCACTGGGCAATTTTGGTCCCATCATTAAAAATAGTTCACATTCTGCACTGACTGCAATGATCTATTGCCTATATTTGTTGATCCTTTGCATCATGCACGAATTATTGAGTTACCTATCTCACACACATTAAACCGACAAGCAACAAACAGCCTAATTGCATCAAAAACAAATATTCCAGCCCCCGCTTCCTTGCCAGTTGGTCTACCAGTGTGACATAACTTCATATTTCCTTGACAAGCCAGTCACCAATATCCAGCACATCCCTCCTGCCAATAGGTGGTCAACCAAATGTTCAAGTCACAGGAGGAATGTCTGCAAAATCAATCCTGGGGCATTTATGTATTCACCTAATGAAAGAAACTATTGGTACTCCCTGCAAGAATTGTTGAACAGTTGAATTACCTACCTAGTGGCCTGCAAAGACACCCATCACAAAAAAGCACCAAGGTGACATATTTAATCACCAGCACAAAAACAGGTGATGATATGCAACACAAACGTGTTCTCCATGCAGCATGTGCCATCGTGTTAGGTGTTAGTTTATGCACTGTTTTCCTGCACATGGAACACACAAACTTGGATTTAGCAGAGTAATGATGACAACCATTTTCATCCAGTGTTCACATTTGCTTTCTTGCTGTTTTGACCCCATCATTGGGCAATTTCGGTCCTACCATTAAAAAAGTTCACATTCCGAGCTGACTGCAATGATCTATATTTGTTCATCCGTCATATCATGCAGCAATTTTTAAGCTACCTTTCCCACACAAATTAAACCGACAAGCAACCAGCATCCTAATTTAAGGAACATCTGCAAAACACTCCTGGGGACTTAAGGTATTAACTTAATGAACAAAACTTGGAGGCATTCTCTGCAAGAATTTTGAGCAATCCAAAAATTAAAATGAGAACAAGTCAAAGCTATATAAAATAACCATATTACCTCCATCTGGCTTTTGGACGCATGGAGCCTGCCCCAGATGTAAACTAATCTAACCTTTAGGCGGAAAGATAGCACCAAACACCGTCGACGCCTGCTGTCTGCATAGATCAAGCGCCTAGCAAGGCTAAATTACGTGAGCATTTCTGTGCTGCTAGCCACTCAAGGCCCTCAATGATAAGAGTAGTTTTAGCAGCATGATGTCAACTTCACCTTCCTTCTCTTTTCCCCTACCATCTTGGACTTGAACCGTCTCGAGCAATAGCTAAAAACCCGTGGAAAAGCGGTAACACCGCACAAAGCTGAAATGGCTATGAACAGAACTGCGTGCGCCAGGCATTTTTCTTTTTTTTTGTTTAGACAGCTGACGGCCGATAATTCGGACGAAATCCCTTCCTGAACGGATGATCCTCTCACGGGAAGGGATTTACCCTGTTTACATGGGCAGCTGTGATTCGAATTGAGCCGGGACCCGTCCTCGATCCGAACTATCCGGCCCATGTATACACTCACGCGCCGTTCCGCTGATTCGAATCGTGCGCCGGAGGAAATCCCTTCCCGTGAGAGGATCATCCGTTCAGGAAGGGATTTCGGTTTTCTTCAAGTACTTCACCTTTTTTAGAAGAAGAAAAATCTCCACCGCGAGCGTTTTACGCGCAGTGCGGCACGGGCTCAACCAGCTCGCGTTAGCAGGATTGCCCGACTTTGAAATCATACAATCCAAACGACATCTTTAGCACCAAAAGTAATGAGCAGGCAATTAACACCATTCACTACGTCGTTTCGACCACTGCTACTCACAATGCTCGCATGATTGCCTATCATCTTCAAGAAATAACCATCTGATAATATAATAATTTCGGCCACAAACAGGTCATATGATTTTTAACACGCAGACAGCCGACGATTTATAGCATGTACTAAAAGGGCAACATAAGCACCAAATTACGTACATTCGAGCAATCAAGAAAATTATCCCAGTTCTTCACATTCGTGTCTCGAGTTGACGTTTCCAAACAGACAGCACAGAGAAAAACCCAACAATGTCGGCGGAAATGAAGCATTTCCGGCATTCTTAAAAAACGGACCAAGCCACGGGAACCAAACACCGAAGCCAAGCCAACGTTTTCGGTGCGGTACATTGGCGTCTATTAGCGCAGTGCATCTCATACACGAGTCCGGATAATGTGATTCACACTTATTAGGACCAAACACATCGTGACGACATTGTCGCTTAAACTACAACACTTGGGTTCAATTAATATGACTACTCCGTTGCCGTGACATGCTGCAATCATGTGCAGAGGGACTGTCGTAGTACCCTCTTAAAGTAGTGCACCTCCTGTACAATTCCAACGAGCAAGGCTTGAAATCGCTCTGACATCCAGAGACATACTTGCCGAGATAATATGCCAACAGTCACCCTAAGGAAACGGATCAAGCCTCGGGAAACGAAGACTGAAGCAAGGCCAGCGCTTTCGGTACGGTACATATACGTCTGTTAGCGTAGTGCACCTCACGCGAGTCCGGATCATGCGATTCACACTTATTAGGACTAAACACATCTTGCTGACGATGTCGGTGGATATGAAAGACTTTGGTCCGATGAATAAGACTCATGCATTATCGTCAGATTTTGCCGTCATTGGCGGACGGACCGCAGTAGCACACTCTTCAAGTAGTACACCTCTTGTATAATTCCAATTGGCGAGACCTAGAAACCGCTCTGACATCCAAAGACGTACTCTGCCGAGATAATATGCCAACAGCCACCCTAAGGAAACGGACCAAGCCCCGGGAAACGAAGGCTGAAGCAAGGCCAGCGTTTTTGGTACGGTACACATACGTCTGTTAGCGTAGTGCACCTCACACACGAGTCCGGACAATGCGATTCACACTTATTAGAACTAAACACGTCGTG